CTGTTGGCATCGCTGGGAGGAATTGACCTCCTGGCCAATTGGCCGTGAGGACCAGCTGCAGCTACAGTGGAAGAGCTGCTGTGCAGGAGACACCCCTATGGATCAGGACTTGCTTCAGGGGGGCTTTGGTGCTCAATGAGTCTGCCCCTTGTGTGTGTTGCTTGTGGATGTGTAGATTTGTAATCTGGAATGGTCTGAAGCAGGCTGCACTGGCTCTTAGGTCTCCAGGAAGGTGCAAAGTCAGCCAATACCTGGGGCACCTGGCAGGAGCTACAGAGCATCCTGCAGATGGTTGTTACTTGCATTGGGGTAGGACAGTGGTTGGCAAACCGTGACTTGGGAGCCACATGCGGCTCTTTGGCCCTTTGAGTGTTTGCTCTTCCACAAAATACCACGTGCAGACGTGCACATACAGTGCGATTGAAACTTCGTGGCCCATGCGCAGAAGTTGGTTTTTGGCCTGGGCGAGTCTATTTTGAAGAAGTGAAGTTAGAAGACTCAAGGGGACAAAGAGCCGCGTGTGGCTTGCAAGACGCAGTTTGCTGACCACTGGGCTAGGAAATGCCCAAGGGAGACCCAGCTATGAGGCAAGGCTGGTGTTGGGTCCTGGACCTTTTATTGATAGGTTTGGGACATGCTGACTCCAGGTGCTGTTTGTTTAAGAGATTTTAGCAAAGTCTGAAGCCTGAGCTAGAACAGGCCATTCATATGGAAAAGCTGCTGCAAACAGCTTGGGTGGGGCTGCAAATTGGATGGAGTGGGGTCTCAGGGAGTCACCAGGGCAGAGCAAACAGTGTGAGCCATGCTGATGGAAATTCAGATATGGCTGCCTGTGAGCTCAGTGACAGGAGAGGTCCCAGCACAGGAACAATGACTCCTGTGAGCACTCCTCTCTGGGAGAAAGCCGCCCCCAAGTTTCTACCCCAATGCCAGACAGTCCAGTTCCTCCCCGTATGCTCCCAGGTTCCCAGAAAGATGCCACCAGGCTCTGGGGCTCAGAGGAAGCGAGACTGTGTAAGTTCGTATGTGGGCCCCTTAATAGGAACATCTAGGACTTCAGCAGCCTCTATGTTACTCAGCCATAATCCCCTCTGTTTTCAGTCTCCAAAGTTATAGGAACTTCTCTTCCTAGCCCTGGAAGCTTGGGCTGGGGGTCTGGTGTGGGGCTGGAACTTCTGCTTCTCCTGGGAGGCCTTGGAGATATCAGCCCTCCCAATTAAAAACACAAAACAGCCGAAACCGGTTTGGCTCAATGGATAGAGCGTTGGCTTGGGGACTGAAGGGTCCCGGGTTCGATTCCTGTCAAGGGCATGTATCTTGGTTGTGGGCATATCCCCAGTGGGGGGTGTGCAAGGCAGCTGATCGATGACTCTCTCTCATCGATGTTTCTAACTCTGTATCTCTCTCCCTTCCTCTCTGTACAAAATCAATAAAATATATTTTTTTAAAAACAAAACAAAAAAAATCACACAAAACAAACAACTCTGCAAGTGAGTGTTGGACAAGCCCGTTCTGCAGCTCTGCCCCTCCTCCCAGTGTCAGTGTGCTTTCTTCTTTAGTTCTCTAGTTGTAGGACTTCCATTCAGCCAGCTTTAGGGTGGTTCTGAATGACGGTTGTTGTGCATTTTAGTTACAATTTTGATGTGGTTGTGGGAAATACAGGCATTACCTACATCGCCATCTGGGTTCTCCTCTCTGATTTTCCAGTGAGCTGACAGCAGCCCCACCTTGACTTAGCTCTTTCACTGTGACTGTGACTTCCCAGTGAGCCGACAGCAGCCGCTCCTCGGCTCACTGTAACATTTCTAGAAAACCAAAGCAGCCCAGCCTCGGCTCTCTCCGTTGCTTCTCCTACGCCAAGTCCTCCCTTTGTTCCCAGCGTTAATAAGCACACTCTCTGCATCACCTGGATTTGTGTTGTGAAATCTTCCTGCTCAAGTCAAGAACCCACACACACCCAGGGGCATAGCTCAGTGGTTCGTCGTCAACCTATGAACTAGGACAGTGGTCGGCAAACTCATTCGTCAACAGAGCCAAATAGCAACAGTACAACGATTGAAATTTCTTTTGAGAGTAAAATTTTTTAAACTTCTTCTAATGCCACTGCTTCAAAATAGACCCAGGTCGTGGTATTTTATGGAAGAGCCACACTCAATGAGCCAAAGAGCCGCATGTGGCTCAAGAGCCGCAATTTGCCGACCACAGAAGTAGGAGGTCATGGTTCAAATCCCAATCAGGGCACATGCCCGGGTTGTGAGATCGATCCCCAGTGTGGGCATGCAAGAGGCAGCTGATCAATGATTCTCTCTCATCATTGATGTTTCTATCTCTTTCCCACTCCCTTCCTCGCTGAAATCAATAAAAATATATTTTAAATAAAAAAAGAGCCCACACACTACACCCCCATCTGAGGCAGACCCTCTCTGGGCCTGGGCCCTGTTCAGTAATAAAAACACTTTTATATTAGGCATATTAAAATTAAAACTATTAATATTCATACAACATTCACAAATTTTCTTGTTGAATTTGTGGCTAAGTATAGTTTCAATTGGAAATAAAAATTGTTGCATTTAAAATATCTATGGGATATTTTCTGGCAACAGGAAAATCTATTAGTCTTACAGTAAAACAATAAAAGTGACAGCGTTTGGGGTTAAGAGAGACAGAGGGACTCAGGGGAAATGACACTACGGGGTTCAGTGGCTTAGCTCCCTAGTTAAAGATTCCCACCCACCACTCCAATACGTGGGCAACAATTCTCTCTTTCGATGCTCCTGGTGGCAGGACTCATGGTCAGTGAAAGAATTCACTGAATTTAGTGGCTAGAGAACTGCTCACCTACAGAGAAGAGAAACAGCACAGACTGGCCGAATGGATGAGTCTGTCCACCTTAGGATGTTTCATCTTTATCATTTTCACAAATTCTTAAAGCTGAAGTTCTGTGCATTTTAAAGCAAGCATGTTAATTTTCATTCAGTAAAAGAGAGAGAGTGAGAGAGAGAAAACAAAACCTTAGAACATTTGTTGTGCAGCTCCACTCCCCGGGGACTAAGGAGACAACTCAGAAGATGTGGTCCTTGTCCTCTGCTGCTTGGAATCCAAAGAATGAGGAAGACGGAGAAAAGCCATCGCTGGGCACACAGACCAGTGCTGAGGGACACGGGCACACAGCTGCTGCCCGCGAGCAAGCGGGGAGCATCCGCGGCAAATGAGAAATGAGCAGGGCTGCTGGGGCTGGTGTCACCGGGTTAGGGACGCAGAGAACAGGCAATGGCATCGCCCAGCAGAAGACAGGGCTCGGGAGTGGAGAGGTGAAAAAGCCTGGAGAAGTGCAGGGTCGGTGTGAGGGGCGCATGGTGGCCTGGCCTGTGTGCTGAGCAGCATTTGGGCTGATCCCACAGCCCCTGGGAAGTGATGGAAAGCTCTCAATCAAGAGAGTGACGTGGCCCTGGCCGGTTTGCTCAGTGAATAGAGCGTCAATGTGCAGACTGAAGGGTCCCAGGTTCGATGCCGGTCAAGGGCACATGTCCGGGTTGAGGGCTCAATCCCCAGTGTGGAGTGTGCAGGAGGCAACTGAGCAATGATTCTCTCTCATCATTGATGTTTCTATCTCTCTCTCCCCTTCTCACTTCCTCTCTAAAATCAATAAAATATATTTAAAGAGAGAGAGAGAGACATGGTCAGATTTGTACTAGGAGGTGGCAACAGCGGGGAAGATGGACTGGGGGAGGCCATGTGAAAGCAAGACCGGTAGGACTCGGACAATCAGGTGAGAAGTGGCCGGGTGGTGGGGCAGGAACACAGGGGGATGGAGGAGAGCAGGTGGGTCTGAAAGGCAGTAGGAGATGAGAAGCCACGGGGATCAGTAGATGATGGGATGGGAGGAGGGATAGGAAGACCCTTGAGTGGAGAACTGTGGCATCTGACAAGGCAATGAAGGTAAGGACATGATGGAGAGACGAGAAAGTGTTCTGTTTGGGACAGGCTGAGTTTGAATTGCAGGGGACAGTGTGGTGTGGATTTGAGGGAGGCTGAAACAAGCAGGTGGGTCTTGGGTTAGACTGGGTTAGACTGGGCTAGACTGGGCTAGGAGCCTTCTGGCAGGAGAAGTTATACGTTTGGATTGGGTCACCCAAGAAAGGTACAGGAAGTCCTAACAGCAGGGTCTGGGTGTGCAGTCCCATGTCCTGGCAACGTGGACATTTTTAAAAGGCTGAATAGGCTGAAACCGGTTTGGCTCAATGGATAGAGTGTCGGCCTGCAGACTGAAAGGTCCCAGGTTCGATTCCAGTCAGGGGCATGTACATTGGTTACGGGCATGACCAGTGCAGGAGGCAGCTGGTCCATGTTTCTCTCTCATCGATGTTTCTAGCTCTCTATCCCTCTCCCTTCCTCTCTGTGGAAAATCAATAAAATATATATTTTTTAAATTAAATAAATAAAAATAAATAAATAAAAGGCTGAACAGGACAGGCTTAAAGGGCAGGAAGAAAAGAAAAAGTGTGCTCATAAGAGACGGGGATCGAGAGAAAAGTTCTAGGAAGGCGGAAGTGGTCACTGCACACATGACGAACCACACAGGTAAGGTGCACGGAGAAGTGGAGCTGGTTTGTTGTTCGGAGGCCACCAGAGATGGGTGGGCAGTGGGCAGACATGGCAGACTCCTGTTTTAAGAGGTTTTCCTTGGAAATGTGAGAGAGACAGACAGAGACAAAGACAGAGACAGAGACAGAGACAGAGACAGAGACAGACTGTCCGGAGGAGGATGCAGAACTGTGGCTCTTCCGTCACCAATGCTGTGACGTGAGGCTCAGGAGACGTTTATTAATCCCCCTTGAGCCTCTGTTTTTCTAAAATGAGACTAATAAGCACCTTCCTGAAAAGGTGGTCGTGAAAATGAAGTGAGGTTTGGCACTTGGTAGGTGCTCATAGACGGTTATTGCTGTTGTTAGGAGAGCAAGAAAAGATGACCTCACCCGCTCTGCCCACTGAGCACTCACCCCTGATGGCCCCAGTCCCCCAGGGGCTCAGCAGGACAGCCAGGGCGACAGCCGGCAGGAGCATGGCTCTGGTCTGGCTCCTCTGTGCTCAGGTGCCTCTGCAGTGGCCACCTGGGCCAGACAGCGAGGAGAAAGGAGGCGGCAGGCGGGAGGGGCTGGCTCCGGCTGCCCTCCCCCTGCGAGGGAGAGGGTGGGGAGGCAGCCTGAGGGGCTCACCAACCAGACCACCTGGGAAGAGGAAAGAAGACACAGGCCTACTGGGAGAGGCGGTGGGAGAGCTGTCAGGACCAGCATGTGGGATTGGGGCTAAGAGGAGGACTGCTGAAAGGAGACATGAGCACTTTCCTTTTATTTTTTAAATTGCTTTGTTGTTGTTAATCCTCACATGAGGATATTTTTCCCATTGATTTTTTTAATTTTTATTTTATTTTTTTAAATGTATTATTTTATTTATTTATTTTTTAATATATTTTATTGATATTTTACAGACAGGAAGGGAGAGAGATAGAGAGCTAGAAACGTCGATGAGAGAGAAACATCGACCAGCTGCCTCTTGCACACCACCCACTGGGGATGTGCCCGCAACCAAGGTACATGCCCTTGATTGGAATCGAACCCGGGACCCTTCAGTCCCCAAGCTGACGCTCTATCCATTGAGCCAAACCGGTTTCGGCTCCATTGATTCTTTTTTTTTTTAAAGAGAGAAGGGGAGGAAGAAAGAGGGAGAGGGAGAGGGAAAGAGAGAGAGAGATTGAAAGAGAGAGAGAGAGAGAGAAAGAGAGAGAGAGAGAGAGATTGAAAGAGAGAGAGAGAGAGAGAGACATTGATTGGTTGCCTCCCACACAAGGTACATGCCCTTGATGGGGAATCCACCCTTCGGTGTGTGGGCCGATGCTCTAACCACTTAGCAAAGCAGCCGGGGCGTAATCACCTTCCTTTTGGTGGGGTGCCTGGAAATGTCATTGAAGTTTACCATGAGTGTTTTTATTTGTAGTGATGTTTTTTGGCATGGATTTTTTTTTTTTTCAGAATTTTACATTGAAATTAATGTCATGTAAAAATTAATTTGATTGTTATCAAATGATATTATTTTTATCATTTTATACCCTTGATAATTCTAGAAAAAGTCTTTGATTATTCCAAACATAAAGAGAAAGCAATATTTTATTGTTTAATTTCTAGTTATTACTCTTATTTCTTCTTCATACAATACTGTGGTGGTATAAGTCACCTTTTTAAAAATCTTATTTTTAAGAATAATTTCTCTAATCATTTCACATTAAGTCTAATGGTATATCTTTCCTTTATATTCTCTGTTTTATTACAGAGAGGTTTGAAACTATAATAAAGGGGAATGGAGCTTCCATAAATTTCTCTGGTATTTATTGTAAAACTAGAGGCCAGGGCATGAAAATTCATGCACTGGAGGGGGGGTCCCTCAGCCTGGCCTGCCCCCTCTTATAGTCCAGAGCCCTCAGGGGCAAGAGGTGACCAGGGGAAGGCAATGCCCCATCACACCTCTGCTGCTGCCACTGCCGGCAGCACAAGCCTCAGCTGCCCTGGTTACCTCAGCCTCAGGCAGCCCTGGGCGGCTGGGGGACTGAGGGTACTGGGCACTGCCATCTTGTGGCTCTGGGCGCCCCCCATCTTTGAGGGTGTGACAGTCAATTAGCATATTCCCTCCTTATTGGCTATGGGCATTGCCATCTTTGTGATGGTGTGACAGTCAATTTGCACATTCCCTCTTTATTATATGGGATAGTAGAGTTTCTATTATTGGATTAAACAATGTGTTGTATTGATTAAAGAGTTTGTGGGGGTCTGAACTAACCTAGCATTGTAATAATTAACATCGCTTGATACCTTCCCATGGGCAAGGCTCTGCTTTAGAGAGGATCCCAATTAGTCCTCCAATAAACCAGCGGCATAGGCACCACAGTATTCTCTGTCCCAGAGAGAGGAACGGAGTCCTGGTGCTCCAACAGCTTGGCCCTGGCTTTGGCCTGGGGGCAGGAGGCAGCCGGCGGGCTTCCCAGCGGGGAGGTTTCGAGCCGCCCCGAGTCTGACCCTGAGTCTGACCGCTTCACCGGAACGTCCTGGTCCCAGCAGCAAACCTAACTCCAGTTACCAGATGTGCTTTCACTCAGTGTCGGCATTTTAATAAGGTCCTTAGTAAGCTGGTGGGGAATTAGATTCTTTTGTCATTTTCTCTCTGAAGTTTGTGCAGGGGGGAGGGGGGATGTTCACCTCATTTTAAGAACTATATGTAAATTAGTTTTGGGGGGTTATTTGGCATTAAAACTTTACCCCCCAAAATATACTGAATTGCAAGAAAAGGATGGTCCTTAGAACATCATTGGTCTATTCACACTCTCTCAGATCCTCAAGTTTCTCAGGCATTTTACTTGACTGTTCTCACTCACCTGTACAGAGTTACGGAGAAGGCAGCGCTACCATCCCCACCTCAAACGTGAAGAACGTGGCCCAGGAAGGACAAGAAGAGCTGCCCAGAGCTAGGCCTGCCTGGTGCTAGGTCAGAGGCCCCTTCCTGCCCTGTGCGGGAGGCAGGCAGGCCTCTGCGGGGAGGACACAGCCCTCCCATGGCTGCACCGAGCTCTGCGGGACAGTCCAGCCCCCGCCCTGTAACTGCTCAGGCCTGCCCACCCCCAGAACTCGTCATACGGGGGTGGTGGGAGGAGGGGGCCGAGGCAGGACTGGCCTGCTGGTGTCTGCTCCCCAGCAAAGGAAGCACAGAAACAAGCCCAAGACTCACCCAGATCCTCACACGAGGACCTTACCTCACTGTCCTCAGTGGCCCTCACACCCTGATGGGTCCTGTGCTTTCCCCGCCCTCTGCCTGGAGGGACAGGCCTGTTCCTCAGTTCCCTTTCTGGAATCTGGCCACGCCCAGGGGGCAGGGCTGTCCTGGCTCAGGGACTCTGATACTGGAGGAGGGAGGCCCACCCAGTGCGCTCTGCTCCTTCTGCGGATCTCCGGCCAGGCCTTCCCCGGGACCCAGGATGGTGGTCCCGCAGGCTGCTGGGGTCCCCTGCATGGCCGCTCTGATGGTGCTCTTGGTGATGTTGGGCTCCCCTTGGGCTCAGGGCAGTGACACCCCAGGTAAGTGCAGAGCCGCTGCTCATGGGGGGCCTGGCTCAGGGGAGTGACGGGGGCAAGGGGAGGGGGCATCCCAGGTGGGCCCAATCCACAGAGGCTGTGAGGGCCCGACATCATCCAGGGGCCACACTGCCCCCCAGAGGCTCCCTGTTGATCCAACACGAAAGAGCTGAGGGCATGGGTTTGTGGATCTTGCTGGAAACTCCTTGGTTGAGATGGCCAGGAGACACAGAGGTAAATGAAAAACAAGCCAAGGCACTTCAGATCCTCACTCTTTTCATGAGGACATCAGACTGATAGGTCAAAGCAAAGCTGCGGACTGGACACAGTCTGACCATGGTTGTATCTGGAAGGAGTGATCATCCTACTGGACAGACAGGGGTGGAAATTCAGGCCATTTCATAGCTGGTTCACATTTCTGTTCCTGCTGGACACAATGTGCCTGAGGCCAGGAGTGGCTTCGGGGGGCACGGCCCTCAGAGGGTTAGGGTGACATTCCAGCATCGGAGACCAGAACGGGGATCCCAGGTCACACAGCCAAATGCGCTCTGGCAGAGGCCCTTCCGCAGGACCAGGCCAGAGAGGAAGCGGAAGCAGGAAATGGCCCCTTTGGTTCCAGCTCTCCACCGGGCCCAGCCAGCAGAACAGGGAACCACCAACCGAGTGGTGTATGTTAAAATCCCCACCCTCGCCATCCCCACCCATAAGCCAGTCATTCTTCTCCCTAAGAATCAGGTCCCTCAGCGTCTTCCCCAACTTCTAGGGCCAACAGCATTTAGAACTCCCAAAGCCACCTGCTCAAACCCTCCCCACTGCACCCACGTCTCAGACAGAAGGAAAGAGAGATTTCTGTGTGGGAGTCTCTCTCTTTTCCGTGTCAGCACAGAAAAGGAGCGGGTCCAGTTCCTGAGTGAAGGCAGCTGGGGATTAAAAAATAAAAGATAGAGACCAGGTAGAAAGACAGAAGCAAAGCTGGGAGCCAGGCAGGACACCATCCTCTCTGATGGAGGGACAGGGACCCCCAGCCCACGCAGCCCATTTATTTATATAATCCCAAATATCAGGAAGTATCACCAAAATTAGGGTCAAAGGAGCTTATTTGCATTCTTGAGTAGGCCCCAGCATTCCTGGTGCTTGCCTGGATTTACATATCAAAGCCCGCTACAGCTGACACTTGGGCAAAGGTAAAAAGTCAGCACGGACAACATGTCTGCCTTTTGGGGGAAAGCATGTTCCCAGGGCGTGGCTCTGCCTATCGCCTGGAGTTCAGCTGAAATAATTAAAGAAATGCCCATGTGCCTCCCAGGGGGCCCTCACCGTTCTGACATGCGCACTCAGGTGGGCAGAGACTGGCCGGGCCGCTCAGCTGTGGGGCTGTGCCTGCAGGTGAGAGGAGAAGTGGGGCGTGTGGGTCAGAGCAGGGCCCTGGGAGCAGCTGGGAGATGGGACGTGAGAGGGGAGGCGGGCAGGAGGCACAGAAGGCCTCTGGCAGGTGGACAGCGGTGGACGGCGGGCGATGAGTGCACTGCAGTACGGCGGGCTTCTTTGGGGCGAGCAGTGAGCAGCGTGGGAGTGGGGGTGGGGAGGCCAAGGGGTTCGGGTCAGTAAGAGGCAGGAGATGAGTGTGCACCGTGTGAGGGCCGGCTGGGGAGGGGACGGGCCCAGAGCTTTCCCACCAATCGATGCTGAGGAGCTCGCTGCGGGTGAGATGTGGGGTCCGGGCACAGGGCACCAGTGGGGTGGACAGAGCCCTCCGCTTCCTTCTTCTTCCCACTCCCCTGGGTGTCTGCACCTTCCCCCAGAGCCGGGAAAGAGGGGGTGAGACAAACCTCAGCATCCAGCATGAGTTAATAAACTCCTGTGTGAGCGTTCAGCTGGGCCAGGGCAGCCCTTGGAGTCATTCTGCACAGGCCAGGCTTCTCTTGTCTCCAGACCTCACAGCTCAGGGGGGAGGGCTCTCGCCCCCAGTGAGACAGACACTGTGCTCCAGCCTTCCTTTACCTGTCTTATGTCGTCTTAGGGGTAGTCCTTTCAGAGAAGCGGATAGAACATTCCCTTTTCGAGGTGGACAGGTGGGGACGCCAAGAGGGTGCTGTTTGTCCGGGCACACAGCTGGGCTGCCTTCCTCAGACCGGAGTCGTCACTTACTCCTAGCACTGTCTGCTCGGAAGAGATGGGCTACTTTACAGACGCTGTCAGGCTTTACTCTGGAAAGCTCAGATGTTTCCGAGAGTTTCACAAACTCTAATATTTTCACACACAAAAAAACGCAGCTTTGAGAGACCCTTGTGTGACATTCCTGTGCGTTGCAAATTAGATTTTATGAGGGAGGGGAAAGTCAATTGCTTTTAAAAAAAGAAAAAAATTCAAACCACTCTTCAGGACCAACAGAAATGTGTCCTGTCTGGCAAGCAGGTGCGAGCCCTGTTAGTGGGACAGGAAACAGAGTTAGAGGCAGGGAATGGAGCAGGGAGGCAGGTGACGACAGATGCCACAGAGGCCCCACCCTGGATGGGCCAGGGACTCGGGCTGAGGGCAGGCACTGGGCACAGAGACAGGTCGGGAGGTCGGAGAGGAATGAGCGCAGCTGGAACCCCGTGGGCTAAACGTCGTGGGTGTCGCCGAGGCTGGTGTGGCGGCTCCTGACCCCAGCTTTAAGCTGGGGCAAGAGGAACACTGAGGGAAGACGGGGACGCTGACCAGCTCACCCAGATCAATCCTGGCCAGCTCTGCAGTGACAGAGACATGGCAGGCCCCCCACACCCTCCTCCTGCTGCTCCTGGAACCTCAAGGTTCCTTGACAGCCACTCGGGGCAGCTCCTGAGCTCAGCCCTGCCCTGACGTGGTGAGCCTCGGGGTGACATCTTCTGATTCTTTCCTTCCGCCTCTGGGCAGCATTGCCCTCATTTCTGTGGTCTGGGAAGTCCTGTGATAAATTCCACCTGCAGTTTCCATTTATGATACATTTTAAGTCATGTGGAGGAGCTGCACCCTAAGACTCCTTCAGTAGACATCCCCCAACTGGCAGGCAGCCAGCCATTTGTAATCAGTTGTCTCCGGCCATTGTCATGAGCAAGAAGAGCAAAGATGGAGGTATCACACCTCCTATTTCAAAATATATCAAAAGCTACAATAACCAAAACAGTATGGTACCAGCATAAAAACAGACATGTAGAGCCATAGAAAGAAATGGAGAACCCAGAAATAATTTACACATCTACAGTCAGCTGATGTCAACAAGAGTGCCAAGAACACCCTTTGGGGAAAGGTCAGTCTCTGTATCCACCCGCAGAAAATCATGAAATGACCTTCACCTCTCACCATATGCAAAAATCCACTCAGAGTGGGCTAACGACGTAAACATCAGACCTGAAACCATAAAACTCCTAGAAGAAAACATAGAGTTAAAGCTTCTTTTTTTATTTTTATTTTTTATTTTTTTAATATATTTTATTGATTTTGTACAGAGAGGAAGGGAGAGAGATAGAGAGTTAGAAACATCGATGAGGGAGAGTCATCGATCAGCTGCCTCTTACACACCCCCTACTGGGGATATGCCCGCAACCAAGGTACATGCCCTTGACCGGAATCGAACCCGGGACCCCTCAGTCCCCAAGCTGACGCTCTATCCACTGAGCCAAACTGGTTTAGGCAAAGCTTTTTTTTTTTTTTTTTTTTTTAATGTTTTTTATTGATTTTTTACAGAGAGGAAGGGAGAGGGATAGAGCGTTAGAAACATCTATGAGAAACATCGATCAGCTGCCTCCTGCACACCTCCTACTGGGGATGTGCTCCCAACCAAGGCACATGCCCTTGACTGGAATATAACCTGGGACCTTTCAGTCTTCAGGCCGACGCTCTATCCACTGAGCCACACCAGTTAGGGCAGAGTTACAGCTTCTTGACATTGGTCTGGGCAATGATTTTTGGATATGACACTATCTCCATTTTAGATACTATGAGTCTATTTCTATTCCCTGTCTACTAACTTATTAGTGATACCCTCTGCTTAACAGAAGTATTAAATTTTAATGTAATACATTTTATTATATTTTCCCCTTATCTTAAAGAATAAAAAGCTAATACACAAACTGACCAAACAGCAGAACAGCTGGTTACTATGACACACACTGACCACCGGAGGCAGACGCTCAATGCAGGAGCTGCCCCCTGGTGGTCAGTGTGCTCCCACATGGGAGCTCCACTCAGCCAGAAGCAGGCTCACAGCTGGTGAGCACAGCAGCGGCAGCCAGGAGAGCTTTTCCTGCCTCTGCAGCAATGGGACATCCCCCAAGGGCTCCCAGACTGTGAGAGGGCGCAGGCCAGGTTGAGGGCCCTCCCCCGCAAGTGCATGAATTCCATGCACTGGGTCTCTAGAGTTCTTACATTTGCTTAAGAAATGCTTCCTCGCCCCCATGTTCATAACTGTATTCACCTGTGCCTTCTCATATTTACCGTAGAATCTACTATTAATATTTATGTTTAGGTTTTTAATCCTTCCGGGGTCCAGGTTTTGATGTTAAGTACAGATCTAGATTTTTCCCCTTCATAGCTAAGCCAGTTTCCTCAACCCCATCTGCTGAGCGACTCCCTTTGTTGAGTGTTAAATCCCGTATGTTCACAAACTCTGAGCCTCTGTTCTGTTTCAGATCACCGTTGGTAAATTTTGTGATTCTGTAGGATTTCTTTATTTACTTTACTTTTTTTAGAAAGGGAGATAGAAACATCAATGATGAGAGAGAATCACTGATGAGCTGCCTCCTGCACGCCCCCTGCTGGGGATTGAGCCTCAACAGCGAAGGGCGCGGCCGGTGGGCAGCCCACTGAGCCGCCTGGTCCTTCTGGCTCTCAGAGGTCCGCGTGTACCAGCGGAGGAGCGACTGCTAGTTCAACGGGACGCACCGCTTCCTGGAGCGATACGTGTACAACAGAGACGTGTTCGTGCAGTTCGACAGCATCGTGGGCGTGTTCGTGGCTGCGACCGAGCTGGGGCGCACAACGGCCAGGAACTGGAACATACAGAGGGAGTTCCTGGAGCTGCGGCAGGGCGCGGTGGACGCGGTGTGCAGACACAACTTCGAGCTGGACAGGGCCTTCACCCTGGAGCGCAGAGGTGGGGTGCGGGGCGGGCCGGCTGGGTGGGCTGGGGGCAGAGGAGGGCGGCTCTCCTTCCCATCTCCAAGCCCCAGTCCCAGGCCGGCGGCCGGAACCCAAAGGGCTGAGCCGGGCGCAGGGGCCAGAGCACATGGGGAAGGGCAGGCTCCTGGCTGGTCCAACAGGAAAGAGCTGAGGGCATGGGTGTGTGAAGCTTGCCCTGGTGAGATGGCCAGGAGACACAGGTAAGAGAAAAACAAGCCAAGGCACTTCAGTCCCTCACCTCTTTTCATGAGGACATCAGGCTGACAGACCAAAGCAAGGCTGCGGACTGGACAGTCTGACTCCACGGTTGTGTCTGGAAGGAGTGACCATCCTATTGGACAGGCGGGGGTGGAAATTCAAGCCGTTTCATAGCTGGTTCACATTTCCTTTCTCAACATTAGTTACCGCCGCCTACGTTTCTGGAGAAAGGGCCAAATTTGACCCTCTCTTCTCTGCTCTTCCTGATTCGTGTATGACAGGCTGTCCTTGGGACATTGCAACTTTATTGTTTCCCTGCACCGTTCCCCATATTCGGCCTCCAAGTAGCTTAACAGATGAAATCCTTCAGCCTCTAAAGTCCATTTGCCAGAAACCTGCTAAACGCACTGCGTTAACTGTCTGCGTCGTCACAAGATCCTTTTTCCCGCTCCCAGTCCAGCCGAAGGTGAACGTGTCCCCCTCCAAGAGGGGGCCCTGCAGCTCCCCAACCTGCTTGTCTGCCGCGTGACCGACTTCTACCCGGCCACGTTCAAGTCCGCTGGTTCCTGAACGGACAGGAGGAGACAGCGGGCGTCATGTCCACCACCTGATCCACAACGGGGACTGGACCTTCCAGATCCTGGTGATGCTGGAGATGGTGCCCCAGCGGGGGCATGTGTACCCCTGCCGGGTGGAGCACCCCAGCCTGGACGGCGCAGTCACTGTGGAGTGGAGTGAGTCCCTCTGGGCTCCAGGCTCTGGGCTCCTCTCCCTGCCCCCCGGGGTCACGCCCCCATGTGCCCTCACCATCCCCTAGCTGTAGTCTAGGTTGGAGCAGCAGGGATGTGCTGCATTTCTCCCTGCCCTGGGTGGGGACGGGGAGAGAGAGAGAGCTAAAGAACCTGTCCTTGTCAGGAAAGAACCACCTTCACGACCTGGCCCTCAGCCTGGGACCCGGCCTCTCCCTCTGTCTCCCTCCTGTCCCTGTCCTTGGACTTCACGGGTTGACCAAAACACCCGCCTCCTGTGGGTGTCACAGCATGAGGCCCAGAACTTTGGGGTGCTTTCCACATCTACTCCGTCCCCACAGTGGTTCCAGGCTCCACCTGTCCTCCCGCTCCCCTCCACAGCACCAGATCAGGCTCCGGGTGTCGGGGGGCGGGGGGGGCTGTGGCAGGTGGAGGGAGACTGGCCCCGGTCCCTCCTTCCCAGAGGCCCAGTCCGATTCTGCCCGGAGCAAGATGCTGGCTGGAGTCGGGGGCTTCGTGCTGGGGCTCCTCACCGCCGTGGTAAGCATCACTCTCCGCTTCCGAGGCCAGCGAGGTAAGAACCTTCTGGAAAGCAGTTGATATTGCCCTTCCACTGTCTCAGTCAGTGAAGTTGAGGCAGAAAAGCAAATGACAGAGCGCATGAGGCCAGTGGAATCGGATTCGGGTCAGGGACAGCAGCGTGTGGGGGAAAGGCGCTTGGGTTGAGATCCTGGCCCCGCAGCACCCCTGAGGCTGCTGCCCTGCTGCCTGGCCAGCAGGCGCTCCCACTGGGCCAGCTCAAGTCTCCAGATTGTGCTGCTGTCACTCCCAGCGATGTGGGCGTGGGATGCCAATGTCTGTGCCTGTCTAAGATGCTGTTGCTCTTTACTTCTCAATCATTAAATCCAACTTCTTTCCCTTCCCTTTCAGGATAACAATGACCTCAGCCAACAGGTAGTGCCTCTGCTCCTTTCCTCCCTCTTGGGGGGCAATCCATTCCATTGCCAATGAGTTTGGGAGCATTCATGAGCATCTGTGTCCTAGGAGGTGCCCTTAGCCTGTGAAACCTCCGGGGCTGTCCCACTTTCTCAGGTTGAGCCAGTTGCCCCCAACTCTCTGTCCATATTCACCTCTAGGCGGGTGCGAGCAGTGAGCTTTGCCCCCGTGCCGAAGGCAATGTCAGGAACTCTCCCCCATTGCTCACCAGACCCACACTCAGCCTCTCTCTGGAGTTTTTTCTCCCTGGGGCTCTAGAGGGAGAGGAATGTGGCCCTGAGCTCCTGTCTTTAATTCCTGTCTTCTTCCCAGGGCTGCTGAGCTGAGCTCAAGCATCGCTGTGGCCTTGGGACAAGGATTGCTGAGCTTCTGCTGCCCAGAAACCTCCCGCCTTCACAAGGACATCACGACGGAACCATGCCCCCAACACCAGTTTCTGGGTCCCTGCCTTCTAATCCAGTGTGCTGCCTCTTCCTCAAGTTCTCCGTCTACCGAGTGCCCTTTCCTGAGAACGTAAACCACTTAAATCCTGGCAGGAAGGCATGGTAACGTGGCCATGTTTATCCTCCAGGGCTCGGTGACCACTGCGTCCGGGGAGGAGCCTGGGATGTCATTGCCGTTTTACCCAGGCCTGGAGAAATAAACTTCTTGGTGGTAACCAATGCTTCTTGTTGAATAGGAGGACAACTGATAGCAGACCTCCTGAAATGTGCTTTATTTCATTGTTGTGCCCAAGTTCATGTTGTACTCTAACCAGGAAGGCGTGGAGCCATTCCTCCTAGTGATCACAGGTGGAACTGACGCCGAGCCTGAATGTTTAAAAAATACCTTTTATTGATGTTTTTAGAGATAGAGGAAGAGAGGGGGAGAGAAATGTCGATGTGAGAGTGATACATTGATCAGTTGCCTCCCGTATACACCCCAACCAAGGATGGAAACTGCAACCTGGGCACGTGCCCTGACAGGAATCAAACCGGCGACCTTGTGGTGCACGGGAGGACGCTCAATGCACTGAGCCACACCAGCCAGGGCTGAGCCTGCAGCTGCTGCTAAAACTCACACAGGACAATGTGTGTCAATCATTAAGAATGTTTTCTAAGTTTAACAATCACCATAAGCTCAGGATTATAAATAACAGGCAGGAGAGCATAACATATTATTGTTATTTTAAAATATTTTTATTGATTTTTTTACAGAGAGGAAGGAAGAGGGATTGAGTTAGAAACATCGATGAGAGAGAAACATCCATCAGCTGCCTCCTGCAGATCCCCTACTGGGGATGTACCCGCAACCAAGGTCCATGCCCTTGACCGGAATGGAACCTGGGACCCTTCAGTCTGCAGGCTGACGCTCTGTCCACTGTTTGGCTAGGTCTATAGTTATTTTTTATATTGTTGTTTGCATCAGCTTCTGGGAGCAGACATCCCATAGCTCTGTGTTCATCAGATCTCCTTAAACTCCTCTGAGTCGGTCAGTGGGGCGTACATCTCCAGTTTCAAAGATGTGTGCATATCAGTTTTTCAGACATAGGCCGGGTTTAGAATAGTTCATTAGGGTTTTTTTAATCATTTTAATTAATATTTGAGACCAGGACAGAAGTCATATTTGTTTCTGTCATTTCATCGAGCTGCGATATCCTGGTTCCTAGGCTGATGCTCAACCAGGGAACCAGGGCTAAAGTGTTCTTTAAAACGGGGGAGTGTTAAATAGGTCCTGTCTCCACCTAGAGGCCAACAGCGGGACCTGGACTTGGAACAAACAGGAAGGGAACTTGTCAGCACTGTGAGAGGGTTGGAGTGACAGGCAGGCCTGCACAGGACGTGGGTTAGAACAGATGTGGCTGAACGTGTAGGCTGCGGCAGCACCACGCCACCGACATGACTTTGCTTCATTCCCACTGGACGGCTGTTGTTGTGCTGGCTGCTGTCATTTTCTTACTGACAACCTCGAGGGAAAGGTCCGTGCCCCTGTATAGTGGGGTGCTGCATGTTTTAAAAATTCTTGTGGCACACCAGTTGGAAACGGCTGGTCAAGACAAACCCAGTAAACAGGAAAGGGGGTTTTATTAATAAAGTACAGAACCTCCACAAAGACACAATCAGGGCCCACTTATCTACTAGGCATAGCAGATACCATGCATAGGACCCACAATATTTTGGGGGTTCATGAAAATGTTTACATCTTTTAAAATACAAATAAACTTTTAGAATGAAGAAAATATCTTAATTTACAATATTAACATATTATGTATGACCAACACACTCATAAAATATACTTCTGGGTTTTTTTAGGAAAGTGTCCAGAAAGGACAAAAATGCCTAGGGCCCATGGACATAAGGGTCACGGACATTCACGTACTGAAGAGCAAAGCAGCAAATGACAAACAGTAGAGGTGCTGACTCCAAGGACAGAGAGCCCATGACATCGTGGCTACAGTGCTGAACATGACTTTGGGGTGGCCCCGGGGAAGAAGGGGTGGGGGAGTGCAAGTCATGAAGAGGCTGGCTGGAGCATGCTGGTCAAATGCACAGAGAGGGGAAAGATGCAGACACCTCTTGGTGTACCTCAGTAATCCCACCTATGCCCCCAACACTTCTCTACCCCTCCCCCGTGCTCCATATTCACTGAGTGGACAGATTATTATGATCTCTGAATGAGTAATAATCTGGCCATTCAGTGTGTCCCCTCTAATATACATATTAGAGGCCCAGTGCATGAATTCGTGCATGGGTGGGATCCGACCAGCCTGGCCAGGGGGAGGGCACATGGGCAGTTGGCCAGCCTGACTGCTGGTCGAACTCCTGGTTGAGGGGACAATTTGCATATTAGCCTTTCATTATATAGGATATACACTGAGTGGCCAGATTATCATGCGCTCAGAGGTCATAGTAACCCGGCCACTCAGTGTGTACTGTATGTATACATATATTTCACTGGGCCCAACATGGAAAGTGGGTTCTTGGGTTCTCAGGGCCACAGCTGACCCAGCAGCTAAGCCAACCAGATTGGACCTCAAGGAGCCTGAGCGTTGGCAGCCAGACGCAGAGACCGAGGGCAGGTCTGCCGGGCGGTGGCCCCTGCTCCCGGGACAGAGCCTGCGGAGAGGCCATGAGGTCCCAGACTGTCTTCGCTTTTCCCAATACAGTCAACCCTCCCTCCAACCCCCAACTACCCCAATATTTCATAATAAATTCCCTCTGGAACTTAATCTGTTCTGAATCAGTAACAAAACAGATTACAGCCGAAACCGGTTTGGCTCAGTGGATAGAGCGTCGGCCTGCGGACTGAAAGTTCTCAGGTTCGATTCCGGTCAAGGGCATGTGCCTTGGCTGCGGGCACATCCCCAGTAGGGGGTGTGCAAGAGGCAGCTGATCGATGATTCTCTCTCATTGATGTTTCTAATTCTCTATCCCTCTCTCTTCCTCTCTGTAAAAAATCAATAAAATAAAATAAAAAATAAAAAATAAACAGATTACAAACAGCTGTTTGTAACAAAAACTCAAAAAGCGCCAAAACTGGTTTGGCTCAGTGGATAGAGCATCGGCCTGCGGACTGAAAGGTCCTGGGTTCGATTCTGGTCAAGGGCATGTACCTTGGCTGCGAGCACATTCCCAGTGGGGTGGGTGTAGGAGGCAGCTGGTCGATGTTTCTCTCTCATTGTTGTCTCTAGCTCTCTATCCCTCTCCCTTCCTCTCTGTAAAAAATCAATAAAATATATCTCTTGAAAAACAATATAAACACTTGAATAAATTTAGTTTTTAAAAAAAACTCAAAAAGCATGAGTGCGGACAGCTCTGAGATCAAGAGGGAAGGGGCGCTCTGGCCCGGTGCCAGTGTGTCCGGTAACCAGGGCAGCGTGGCAGGGTCGCCCGGGTCTTCCCAGGGCAAAGGTGTCGTTAAGCGGGAACTAGTCCCTTATGGTCTATGATGAGGAACTGATGCTGGGATTGAGCAGCCCAGTCAGAAGCAGAGCCCACTGGGAGCTAAATGAAGGAGGGGCCTCGCTGGGAAGGCGGAGAGGTCTCCTGCCAGCCTGTCTGTGCCAGAGCCACCACGGGCCCCAGGTCTGCTCAGCCAGGCCGGCGGCCTCTGCAGCTTTGCTGTCTGACTCCTTTTAAACATGGCACCACCTCCCATCTTCTCCCAAACCCTGATATCTCCAAAACACGTTTCTTAGTTTTCAGTTTTTGTTGGTTTGTTTCTATATATTTTTACTTTTGGAAAGTAAGAAAAATCTTGAGGTATTCATAAAAACAGCCACAAGTGGAAAGCTGCAGAGTTATGAGAAATCTCTAACACACTAGTAATGTGTATACCTCCCTCAGGGAGGAGAGTTAGCCAGGCCGGGCACACACAGGAACACGGAGCCGGGAGCCGCACGCTTCGGCCCGAGCTCTGAGGGACGCAGTGGTGAGACCTGGAGCCTGGCCTTTGCTCCAGCCTCCGTAGTGTCCCACGTGGCTTCTGCTTTCATGCTTTGGAAAACCGCCTTTCTATTTCTTGGGAATCAAAATACTTCAGTGTGGAAGCAAGATGTGCTCATAGACAGAGGCAGGACAGAGTGGACGACTCAGCCACCTGATGTGGGAAGGCGGTGCGGTGGCTGGCTCTCACTGAGGCCGACTCCTCCGGCCGTTTGGGGGCAGCCGTAAGGAGGTGCCCCTGTAGGTGCCCCGGTCTTCACCCAATAATATGAATGAAGGGGAGGGTCTTCCCCACTCTGCCGGCAATGCCAGTTCCCACGAAACTGCCCGGGAGATGAGAAAAATATAACAAAGGTGAGGGGAGGGCAAGCACCGGGGACACACACACACACACACACACACACACACACACGCTGCACCCTGCACACAGGAGCTTCTCTCTGGGGCAGCTGGAGCCTTGCTTTGACCCCTCCCGTCCCTGTCTCCTCCACCCACCCTGCTCTGCCCGTTCAGAAACTGCACATCCAGCATCCAGCTGGCCAAAGCGGGAGGACGGGACAGGAAGCCCAGGGCCTTCTGGGACCCGCAGTGTGGCCGGTACAGCGATCTAAGTGGTGCACATGTTACAAGTTGTTTTTTACCATAGGTCACAGAGGCCCAAGTCTGAGGAGCAGCTCCGGGCGGCACAGGCTAGCGGACCCGTCCCCAGCCCTGCGGCTTCCTCCTTCCTCCGCCCTCCGCCACCCTGACCCAGCTCCCTCAGCTCCCTCAGCTTCTAACACCAGCGAGGACTCCCCCTTCCTGGTTGGATTCACGTTAAACTCCCTTAGAGGCCGTCAGGAACCCGGGCCCTCCTGCAGGCGGTTATGTTCTGGCCCAATCAAACCCCAGATCCTCAAGGTCTCGGCCTCTCTCTGTGTGTGTCCCCAGAAGCCACTGAGCCACTGGCATCCCGCATCCAAGTGCGGGGAACCTGCACTAACACGCCAGCTCCACCCCAACCCCAGCCTGGAGCCCGGCCCTCACCCGCCTCTCCTCTCCCCGGGCGCCCCGCTCGCCCCGCGGCAGAGGCTGTGGTTCCGGCTCCTCCGGACTCCTCCGGGCACCGGGCTCCGGGCACCGGGCACCGATCGCTCTAAGCCCTGCGTCTGTGCACCGGCCCGGGCCTAACGCCGCGCGTGCCTGTCACCGAGCGACTGTGCGGCCCTGCGTCCGCGGAGGACAGCTCCGAGCCTGCGTCAGACCGGAGGTGGTCTTGGGGATCGCCCCTTTGCTCCAGGGACGGCCTCCAGGGGTTCGGGCCCCTCCGCTCGCAGAGAGAAGCTGAGAAGCCTCCGCTCCGCAGGGCGAGGGGGGGGGGGGAGAAGACGGATGGGGGAGGGGGCGGGGCGGGGCGGGGGGGAGGGGGCGTCTACTTAGGTCTGATCACTTCCTCAGCGGAAGCCTGGGAAGGAAGGTGGTTGTCAGGGTTGGGGATTGAGATGGAGGGCGTGGGGTCCCCAAAACCCTGTCCTGACCCCAAATAGACGAGACCGGGGCTTCCCTCCCATCGTCCCCTCTTGGGCTGGGGGTGGGAGTGGGGATCAGTGGGGCGGAGGAAGGTGGAGGTTCTTGGGCGTCTCGGGGCCCTTTAGGGGCGACGGTCTGGGCACGGCCACCAGGGGGCGCCAGAGGCGGGGAGACGCGGGCGCCGGCGGGGCGGGCGGAGGGGTTTCGCCTGAGACCCGTTTTCCGTGGAGGTTTCTATGCACACCCCCATCCACCCCACCCCACCCCACCCCTCCCCACCCATCCCAAGAGAGCTTTGCTCGGAGAAGGATTTAGCCCTGCACTAGGGTCTGGGGTTTGTCCTTGGGGTCAGGTCGACCCAGGCGGGGTGGTCGGGGCTCCGCGGGAGGAAGTGGGGGGGGGGGGGGGGGGGTCCGTGGGCCCAGGGAGCCCCTCCGGTGCTGACGCGAACCCAGAACGCGCCGCGCCCACCCCCCGGCCCCGCAGCCGGAGGGTGACTGGGCCGAGGTCCCGGATACGTGGAGCCGCCCCGCCGGGCGGGCGGGAGGCCCCGGGGGAGGGAGGGGGAGGCCCGGTGGGGGGGAGAGGCCCGGTGGGGGGGAGAGGCCCGGTGGGGGGGAGAGGCCCGGTGGGGGGGAGAGGCCCGGTGGGAGGGGGAGGCCCGGTGGGAGGGGGAGGCCCGGTGCGAGGGGCAGGCCCCGGGGGAGGGGGAGGCCAGGTGGGAGGGGAGGCCCAGAGCCTGGGGGAGGCGGAGGGGGAGGCCCGGTGGGGGCGGGGGGCCGCTAGGGGGACCGACCAGGTCCCGGAGGGACCGCGCGGAGCCGCCCGCAGAGTGAGCCCGGGGCGGGACGGGGGTGGAGGGCCTGGGGGAGGAGGGGGGGGAGGCCCAGAGCCACAGGGGCGGGCCGGGTCACCGAGAGGAGCCTCAGTCCCGCACGGGCCACCTAGGCGCCCCCAGCCTGAGGCCCCTGAAGGGGCCGGGAGCCGGAGGCACGCCTCCCGGAGCCGGCCAGCGCGGAGTCAGAGGGAACCGGGACGCTGTGACACCGGCTGGACAGGCCCTCCTGGGAGCGGGTGAAGCCACCATTTCTGGCCACAGCTGGGCCCGGAAGGGTGGGGTTGGAGAGGGGTGTGGGGATGGAAGTAACCCATGCAGCACACATCCACCCTGGGGGGAAACGGTCACGTTTTAACCATCAGCCAGAGCGGACGCGGGTACCGGGCTGGACAAGGCCCCGAGGCCCTTCCACCCTGGCCGCACAGGTCCTCAGCCGCAGCGCCGGGGAGGGCGGCCCGGGGCCAGGGGTCCTCAGGGCCCGGCCGGTGACCGCCCAGCTGACACTTTGGTGCTTCAGCAGCCGGTGCACAAGCCCGCACACCCCTCCCTCCCCGGCCCCCCCACCCCCAGTAGCCGCGTTCCCGCGAGCCCGGGCAGGTGACGGGGAGCAAGTGTGCGGGTCGGAGCCAAACAGCCAGTAAGTGGAGCGGAGCGCCCTGAGGCAGGAGGCGTGTATTCCGTGTTCACAGTGGGTGCCGGGCGCTGGGCAGGAGTGGAGTTCGAGTCACTGGGGAGCCCTGAGGCCAGGACGGACCCGGTCATCCCTGCAGAGCCCGTCCCAGGTCCGCTGGTTGGCATCTCTACCTTTGTTGTTACTGTTTTCCACTCTTTAAATAATTAATATAATTACTTTTAAATACAAAATACACAGTGTCCTTTCTTCTCTTCCTCTTGTTTGGGGTGGTTGGGAGGTGAGTTTTAAATAAGTGTGTCAGCTGTCTAACAGGTCACAGGCGCCAGGCGGGGGGCCCTGAGCCCCAGACGCCACCCCTCCCGGGGCGGCCTGGCACGGCTCCCCCGCCCCCGTCTGCCCTGACGGGGGCTCTCCGTGCTCGGAACCAGGGCCCCGCTGGCGAGGAGCCCTCCAGAGTGGCCTGGAGCTGGTGGTGGGGCTCGGGGGCCTGGTTTCCACGGCCGGGGTCCGAGAGACGTCCTAGCCCATGAAGCAGACCGGCCCCAGCAGCACCCCGCCCCGCCGCGGGGGGGCGCCCAGGTCCGAGAAGGAGGCGTCCAGCACGGGCAGCTGCTCCAGCACAGGGGTCCGCACCTCCAGCACCGTCCGGCCTTGCTGTGTCTGCAGGGGGAGACGGGAGGGCGCGCTGGGCGGGGGGCACACCCCAGGCCGGCCTCTGAGCACGGCGAGCGGTGACCCCCAGCGCCCCGTGACGGGAAGGCAGGGAGGTGGATGTGAGTGTGTGTGTGTGTGTGTGTGTGTGTGTGTGTGTATGGGGGGTGATTTTAGCTGGCATGATTCCCGTGTGCATGTGCCTGTGTGACCTGTGGGGTGGTGCCCAGTCCTGTGTCTCCGCTGGGCCACCTGTGTAAGCTGTGTCCTTGGTGATGCTGCTGTGCACACAGATGAGCCCCATTTCCATCCCCCACCCACACCCCCTGAGCTCCTCCCGTTCCGCCCACCTGACAGCCAGCCGTGAACTCCTTGACGTAGGGGCTGGTGTCAGGGCTCAGCTCGTCCTCGTTGGCCCCCCGGAGCTTCAGGGGGCCGTCGCGGGCCGGCCCGGAGCACGGGTACGAGACGTCCTGGTGGGCGGAGACGCTGAGCAGCCGCAGGAAGGTGAGCTGGACCACGCCCACGGGGGAGCCCTCCGAGTCCACGTAGGAGAACTGGGGAGAGGGCGCAGTCAAGGCCAAGGAGGGGGCCGGGCCGGGCGTGGGCAGGCGTAGGAGGGGGCGCGGAGAGAAACGCCCGAGTGGGAGCCAGTCAGGCGAGTGTCTGCCTGGGGCTGCGGGTGGTGAGCACAGGGGCTGCGGGTGGTGAGCACAGGGGCTGCGGGTGGTGAGCACAGGGGCTGCGGGTGGTGAGCACAGGGGCTGCGGGTGGTGAGCACAGGGGCTGCGGGGTGGTGAGCACAGGGGCTGCGGGTGGTGAGCACAGGGGCTGCGGGTGGTGAGCACAGGGGCTGCGGGGTGGTGAGCACAGGGGCTGCGGGTGGTGAGCACAGGGGCTGCGGGGTGGTGGTGAGCACAGGGGCTGCGGGTGGTGAGCACAGGGACTGCGGGTGGTGAGCACAGGGGCTGCGGGTGGTGAGCACAGGGGCTGCGGGTGGTGAGCACAGGGGCTGCGGGTGGTGAGCACAGGGGCTGCGGGGTGGTGAGCACAGGGGCTGCGGGTGGTGAGCACAGGGGCTGCGGGGTGGTGGTGAGCACAGGGGCTGCGGGTGGTGAGCACAGGGGCTGCGGGGTGGTGAGCACAGGGGCTGCGGGGTGGTGAGCACAGGGGCTGCGGGTGGTGAGCACAGGGGCGGGGGAGGAGGGAGGAGGAAGGCGCAGGCATGGAGAGGGCACTGCCGGGAACTGGTCACGTGAACCCAGACCCGCCCTCCGTGCGCAGGCCGCACCTGAGTGACATCGTCCCTTGGCTGCACGCACGTCTCCCCGCCCGCCGTGAAGTTGCAGAACACCCGGAAGGCATCGCGGGCGCAGCCCTGGTTGGGGTCCACCCAGTACTCTCCTGGGTGGGGGGGGCGGCTCAGACCGAAGATGCTCTTTGCACCACATCCCTACCCCCGCTCCCTACACGCTCCCAGCCTCCGCCCTGCTCTCCCACCGGAGCCCCTAGCACATCCGGCACTGTTTCCCTCACGGCCCCCCTCCCTGACACCCCACCAGCAGCATGCCCCGCTCCTGAGCACGATGAGTGTGAGGCTGTAGGTTTGCACACGTTGGCTGTAGTTTTGCACACACGTGTAGCTGTAGGTTTGCACATGTGTTGGCTGTAGGTTTGCACACGTGTGGCAATAGGTTTACACATGTGTTGGCTGTAGGTTTGCACACACGTGTGGCTGTAGGTTTGCACGTGTTGGCTGTAGGTTTGCACACATGTGTGGCTATAGGTTTACACATGTATTGGCTGTAGGTTTGCACACACGTGTGGCTGTAGGTTTGCACATGTGTTGGCTGTAGGTTTGCACGTGTTGGCTGTAGGTTTGCACACACCTGTGGCTATAGGTTTGCACATGTGTTGGCTGAAGGTTTGCACACACGTGTGGCTATCGGTTTGCACGTGTGTTGGCTGTAGGTTTGCACATGTGTGACTGTAGGTTTGCACACGTGTCCGACTGTGTGAGCGCAGGCCCTGTGCACACATGTGCTATCTATCTCTGCAGATGGCAGGCTGGCAGAGGCTGCACACTGGCAGGACTGGTGCTGGTGGGCGCCAGTGTTCCAGTCCCCTCACCCCACCCGACATCGCCCCTGACTGCAACACCACTCTCTCGTCACGCCTGGTGGCTGCGCGTCTCGCCATGTGCCCGCTGGCACTGACCATCGGGCAGCTCTGGGTGGCAGAGCTTCAGGTCCTGGCAGGTGCGGCCAGGGCTGTCCTGGGTGCCTGTCGGCCGCCTCATCTGCTCGATCTCCTCCCGCAGGGAGTCCAGCGAGCCGAAGACCTCCTCCAGCGCCCCCGGGCTGCCCGGGGCGCCCCCGGCCGGCTCGGCCGCGTCTTCCTGCATCAGGCGGCTGCCGTCCACGGAGCGCCGCGTCTTCTTGGGCATCTGGATGGGCAGGGGCTGGATCACCTCGCCTGGGGGGCCCTGGCGGAGGGGCAGACGGAGAGGACGGGTGAAGCAGAGAAGGTGCCGGTCGGGGGACGCCGGGACGCGGGCCGGGCCTCTAACTCACCGGGTGTCCCGGAGGGCCCTGGACGCCCTTCTCCCCCTTCGGTCCTGCAGGGCCCTGCAAAGGAGTAAACGAGGTCACGGAGGGGTCAAGGCCACAGTGGGGTCAACTCCAGATCCAGGCTGGGAGTGCTCCCCCCGGGGGCACTGCTCTGGAGAGACTGCGCCACGTCCGGCTGGGGGCGGGCAGTCGGGGGTCACTCACTGTGGCTCCTTTGGCGCCCTTGGGGCCGGCGGGTCCCTGTGGAGGGAGGAACGAGGAAGGGAGGTCACACGGGGAAGGTGGGGCGCAGGCATAGAGGCAAGGCCAGGAGCCCACGGCCACAGGCAGGGGGTCACAGGAGGGCGCGAGGGAGCAGGGGGCAGGGGGCCTGGGGAGGGCGGAGCCACTGCGGGTGAGCCTGTTAGGCTGGCATCGCCATGGGAGCGGTGGGGGGGGTTTCGGGGGGAACAGGTGGTACTCACAGTGAGGCCCGGGGGCCCTCCGGGGCCGATGGGGCCAGAGGCTCCGGGGATGCCCTAGGGAAGGGGGGACCAAGTTCAGCTGGTTCTCCCCACCCCCAGCCCATCCCGACGGGAATCTCCACCTCACCCCGCCAGGACAGCCTCTCTCACCGTCTCCCCCTTCTGTCCGGCGGAGCCCTGTGGGCCAGGGAGCCCCCGGTCCCCCTTCTCCCCTTGCTCCCCAGGGGGCCCGATCAGCCCGATGAGACCTGGGTGGCCCTGGAGGAGAGGGCGGTCAGGGAGAAGCAGAGGGGACGGGCGCGGGGTAGGGGGCAGGGGCCACGCCCGGAGCTCTCGCTGAGGCCCGGAGGCCCGAGCGGGGGCCAGGGCAGCGGGGACTCAGGTCCCAGCTCTCGGGGGGGAGGGCGGGGGGGGGGGGGAGACACTGGCCACTCGTCTGTCACTCACCTTCTCTCCTTTGGCCCCAGCATCACCGCGGAGGCCAGGGAGCCCCGGGGGGCCCTGTGGGGAGAGAGAAGTCACTCTTTCCGGGAGAGGAGAGCCCAAGCCCCCCACCTCCCGCTCTTCCAGGTTTCACTCCTGCCCCCTGCCCAGCCCCCTCCCCCCCCCCCCCCCCACCAGCCACTCACCACAGGACCCGGGGGCCCGGCCTGGCCCGTGGCCCCAGGACGACCTTGCTGGCCCTACAGGTGGGAGGAGACCCAGAGTGAGGCAGAGCGCCCCTCCCATGGCACCCCAGCCCAGCCTCCCCCTCCAGACTCACCACCGAGCCCGGGAGCCCCCTCAGGCCATCGGGACCGGGCTTTCCTGCTGGGCCTGCGGGACCCACGGGGCCCGTCTTCCCCGGGGCCCCCACAGCGCCGGGATCCCCCTGAAACGCACACGGGAGGTGTTCTAAGGGGCAGGAAGGGCGATGGGGCGATGCAGGAAATGGGTCTGAGCCCAGGAGCCCCGGGGCAGGAGCAGTAGAGGGAACCCCCTTCCCACAGGGGCTGGGGGGGTGGGGAGGAGGGAGACAGAGGACTCTGAGGAGCAGAGGAGAGGGAAGATGGGGGGTGGGGCGGGGGGCAGAGGACTCTGAGGAGCAGAGGAGCGGGAAGACGGAGGACGGCCCAGCACCCAGGCGCCTCGCCCACCTTGGCTCCCTTCTCTCCTTGGCGTCCCTCGGGACCAGGCGTGCCGGCAGGGCCCTGCAGGCGGAGGCAGGAGGCGGATGAGGGCACAGGGCCCATCATGGGCGGTGGGGGGAGCGGGAAGCCAGGTGTGAAAGTGCGAGTGGCCACGCCCCCCTCCTGCCCGGGAAGCCAGCCTTCCCGTCTGCTCTGACCGGTGTGTTCACACCGCGCCCCTGGCAAGAACTTACACACGGCACCCCGGAAACAAACACAGCCACGCATGCTCAGCACTCACACACACGTGCTCCAGCACACACACCCAGGTCAGCCCGGACACAGCTCTCCCTGCCCGGCCACGGCGTCGCCCACCCCTGCCCCCACCCAAGGGCGCCCCCAGGTGTCACCTCACTTACCCGCTTTCCAAGAGGCCCGGGGGGTCCATTCTCCCCAGTGGGACCAGGGGACCCCTAAGGAGGGAGGATAAGTGTGGGCAGGGTGTAGCTGCCAGCCAGGCCCTCAGGGGGCACAGAGAGGAGCAGGGCTGAGGGCTCGGCTCAGGGGGGCACTGGTCACTCACCGGCTGCCCCGGCTCGCCGTCCTCTCCGCGGTCACCCTTCGCCCCATCCTGGCCCTGCGGGGAGGAGGCCAGGTCAGGGCCCGGCCTGGGGGGTCACCTGAGCGTGCTGACCCCCCTCCTTCCAGCCGCCCGGCCACCCCCGCCCAGCGGCCAGAGGCCTGTCCGCCCCCCACACTGGCCGAGACTCACGCGAGGGCCACCTTCTCCAGGAGGGCCAGGGTCACCGGGAAAGCCGACAGGGCCCTAGCGGGAGGGAAAGCAGGTCATACCGCCTGGCCGCCCAGAGCCACGCAGACCCCGTGGGCCCAGCACACCCCAGCGCAGTGCCCACGCCCCCCAGCCCCAGCCCCAGCCCCAGCCCCCAGCCCCAGCCCCCAGCCCCCAGCCTCCAGCCTCCAGCTTCCAGCCCCAGCCCCAGCCCCGGCCCCCAGCCTCCAGCCTCCAGCTTCCAGCCCCAGCCCCAGCCCCCAGCCCCCAGCCCCAGCCCCCAGCCTCCAGCCTCCAGCCCCCAGCCCCCAGCCCCAGCCCCCAGCCTCCAGCCCCAGCCCCAGCCCCAGCCTCCAGCCCCAGCCTCCAGCCTCCCTAAACCCCACAATCTCCCCAGGGGCCTCGCTGCCAGAGCCCTCCTCCCAGGGCCCCCGCCAGTCCTCACACCCCCGGCCCCAGTCCCAGACCTCCTCCCGCCCTCGGACTCACCGGGTTCCCCTTGGGGCCGTCGTCCCCGGTGGGGCCTTTGGGCCCGGGCGGCCCAGCCTCTCCCGGCTGCCCCGACTCGCCCTTCTCCCCACGCTCCCCGCGAGGGCCCTGCAGGGAGAGGGGGACAGGCGGGCCCAAGGTCAAGGATGAGCCCCTGCTTCCAGGACGCCTGCAGCCCCCAGGCCCCACGACCGGAGGAGGCACCAGACCGGCAAGCCCACCGGTCCGGCCTTCCGCCCGGAAAGGGGGCAGGGTGCGCAGAGGCCCAGGGACAGGCCCTGAGAAGGCTGGGCACTGCTCCTGCTGAGGAGCCGGTCATGGGGAAGGGGGGCTGAGGGGGGGAAAGGGGGCTGAGGGGGTGAAGGGGGGCTGAGGGGGGGAAGGGGGGCTGAGGGGGGGAGGGGGGCTGAGGGGGGGAAGGGGGGCTGAGGGAGGGGGTTGAGGGGGGGGGAGGGGGCTGAGGGGGTGAAGGGGGGCTGAGGGGGGGAAGGGGGGCTGAGGGGGGGAAGGGGGGCTGAGGGGGGGAAGGGGGGCTGAGGGGGGGAAAGGGGGCTGAGGGGGGGAGGGGGCTGAGGGGGGGGGAGGGGGGCTGAGGGGGTGAAGGGTGGGGAATGACACCTCAAAGCCATCACTCACCTTGGCGCCTGGCTCCCCCTGGACCCCAGGGGATCCTGAATCTCCTGGCTCCCCCTGCAAGGAAACTGGGGTCAAAATCCCCTGGCCCCAAACTCCTCATGGTCCCCACACCTCCTCTCTCCGGACCCCAACGGAACAGCCAGACTCCGGGCAGGCCTCGCCCTCCTGCTCACCTTCTCTCCAGGGGGGCCCAGGTTCCCCACGCCTCCGGGGGGGCCTTGAGGACCCTGGGAGGGGACAGAAACGGGTCATGGCTCAGCGGGGAGGTGCCGCTCCAGGGAGGGCCAGGTGAGGCCCCCCCAGGTCTCAGGAGCAGCGGGAGGCCTTCCCAGAGGTGCCTCTGAGATGAGACCAGTTTATGGGGGGGGAGGGGGGGGAGAAGGAGGGAGATGGGGGGGGGAGGCAGAGGACTGGCCACATCGGTCTGAAGGGACCAGAGGCCACGGGGACTCACATCAGCTCCATTGGGTCCAGCGGGGCCTCGAGGTCCTGGGGGGCCAGGTGGTCCCTGGGGGGAAACAGATGCACCGGAGCTAGCAGGGGGGCAGGGGAGGGGGGGAGGGGAGCGGGGGGCACGGTGGAGGGGCGTGCACAGACACGTGGGGGTTGGGCAGGGCAGGGACAGGGCAGAGAAGAGGGGCGGGCAGAGGCAGGGAGCAGGTGCGGTGGGCTGGGCGGGTGGGTGACCAGAGGTGGGGTGGGGCGGGGCCAGTGGGGTCACACTCACCATAGGGCCCACGTCTCCTGTTTCTCCCTTCTCCCCCGAGGGGCCTGGCAAGCCCTGAGCAGGCAGAGGGCACAGACCGGGTGAGCAGCCCAGGCCCAGCTCCCCTCGGACCCACCGCCTGCCCCACGCCCTTTCCCATCCGACGGGCTCCTGGCCCAGCTCTTGGCCGGCTCCCCCTCACCTGCAGGCCGATGGGCCCGGGGGGCCCATTGAACCCTCTCGTTCCCTCGTCGCCTTTGGCTCCAAAGTGTCCCTGAGGGCCCCGGGCCCCGGGCTCCCCGTCTGCGCCCTGCAGTGGGGGCAGGGACAAGGGCCCAGATGGCCATAGCGCACACCCAGGTCCGAGTCCCTCCTGCATCCTCCATCCCACCCCAAGCAGCCGAACGGGACCGGGAGCGGGATGCGGCTCCGGCCGGGCGGGCGTGGGTCACTCACCGCGGCGCCGGGCTGCCCCACAGGCCCGAGGGGTCCGGGGGGTCCGGGCGGGCCCTGGGGGAGAGGAGAGTCAGACAGCAGGCCGGCAGGCCGGCCGGGGAGAGGCGGGCGGGGCCAGGCTCAGCTCAGGGCACTCACGTGTTCGCCTTTGTTCCCTTTTGTGCCCTTCTGTCCGGGGTCCCCCACCTCGCCCTGCAGGGGAGGCAGGCGAGTTAGGGGAGGGGGGCGTAGAAGGTGGGGAGGAGGCGGTAGGAGGTGGGGAGGGGGGACAGGAGCAGGGGGGGAACAGTAGGAGGCAGGGGGGGATGGTAGGAGGTGGGGGGGACAGTAGGAGGCAGGGGGGAACAGTAGGAGGCAGGGGGGGTGGTAGGAGCGGGGGGGACAGTAGGAGGCAGGGGGGGTGGTAGGAGCAGGGGGGGACAGTAGGAGGCGAGGGGGGACAGTAGGAGGCAGGGGGGAACAGTAGGAGGCAGGGGGGGTGGTAGGAGCAGGGGGGGACAGTAGGAGGCAGGGGGGGATGGTAGGAGGTGGGGGGACAGTAGGAGGCGGGGGGGGACAGTAGGAGGCAGGGGGGGATGGTAGGAGGTGGGGGGACAGTAGGAGGCGGGGGGGACAGTAGGAGGCAGGGGTGATGGTAGGAGGTGGGGAGGGGCAGTAGGAGACGGGGGGGACAGTAGGAGGCAGGGGGGACGTTAGGAGGCGGGGGGGGACACAGTAGGAGGTGGGGAGAGATGGTAGGAGGCGGGGGGGACAGTAGGAGGCGGGGGGGGGACAGTAGGAGGCAGGGGGGACGGTAGGAGGCGGGGGGGGGGCGGGAGGAGGCGGGGGGGGACGGTAGGAGGCGGGGGGGGACAGTAGGCGGGGGGGGACGGTAGGAGGCGGGGGGGACAGTAGGCGGGGGGGACAGTAGGCGGGGGGGACAGTAGGCGGGGGGGACAGTAGGAGGCGGGGGGGACAGTAGGAGGCGGGGGGGACAGTAGGAGGCGGGAAGAAGGGGGGAATGGTAGGAGGTGGGGGGGATGGTAGGAGGTGGGGAAGGGGGGACACAGTAGGAGGCAGGTGAGGCTGTCAGATCAGCACTGCCATCTGGAAAGAGGCTGGTCGGGCTGTGGCTCCCTCACCTTGTCCCCGTCTTCTCCTGCCCCGCCTGGGGGCCCAGCGGGCCCGGGAAGGCCCACGGGGCCCTGCACCCCGTCGCGGCCGGTGGGGCCGATGGGGCCCTTCTCGCCCTGAGGAGGTGGACAGAGGGGTCAGGCCTGGACGCCCGGTCGTGGGCGGTGCCCAGCCCCGGCCCACACTCACCGGGACGCCCTTCTCGCCGGCTGCTCCAGGGGGGCCCTGAGGTCCTGGGCGCCCGGGGGGCCAATGGGTCCCCCGGACCCCGCTCCTCCGCGCTCCCCGGGGGAGCCCTAAGAGAGGAATCGAGTCAGACCCCAAGGAGGCCAGCCTGCACTCCAGAGAGCCCCCACGGCTCCCAGGAGAATACCCCAAATCGGAGGCATACGGCTGGCCCTGCCTCCCTGCCAGACCGGCCGCCATGCCCCCAGGGGCCCCAGACTCACCGCGGGACCGGGGGGACCGGCCGGACCTTCATTCCCCTTCAAACCGGCTCCACCCTACAAACCGGAGATCCAGAGCAACAGCTGAGACCGGCAGGGGGGCACCGGGGCAAGGGGGACACCGGGGCAGGGGGACACCCGGGCAGGGGGGGCACCGGGGCAGGGGGCACCAGGGCAGGGGGACACTGGGGCAGGGGTCACCGGGGCAGGGGGCACCGGGGCAGGGGACACCCGGGCAGGGGGGCACCGGGACAGGGGACACCGGGGCAGGGGGCACCGGGGCAGGGGGGCACCGGGGCAGGGGGACACCGGGGCAGGGGGGCACCGGGGCAGGGGGGCGCCGGGGCAGGGGGGCGCCGGGGCAGGGGGCACCGGGGCAGGGGGACACCGGGGCAGGGGACACCGGGGCAGGGGGGCACCGGGGCAGGGAAACCGGGGCAGGGGGCACCGGGACAGGGGGGCACCGGGGCAGGGGGACGCCGGGGCAGGGGGGCGCCGGGGCAGGGAACGCCGGGGCAGGGGGACACCCAGGCCAGCCCGGAGACACCAGGTTTGGGGGGGGGGGCTCGGAGGGGGTCTGGGGCTCAGTCTGGCGGCCTCGGGGTCCACTCACGGCGGTGCCGGGGAGGCCTCGCTCTCCTGGGAAGCCCCGCAGCCCGGCGGGCCCGTCCTTCCCTGGGGCCCCCGGAGGGCCAGGGTCCCCCTAGGGGGAGAGGGAAGGTGGTGAGCACTGCAGAGATCACTGCCCCCTCACATCTCCACTCTCCCAGCCCCCCTCGGCCGGCCCCCACTGAATTCTGTTAAGTTGAACTTATTGGGGTGACATTGGCTCGCAAAGCCACCCCGGCTTCAGTGTGAGCTGGTAAAGCGGGTCTGCAAGGCATCCGGGCCCATGGCCCTGTCTCCTCCGCCCCGCCTTGCCCGAAGGTACGGACGTCAGGGATTCGTGTCACCCTCGCTGGGCCGGGCCGTCCCGTGTTCCCACTGAGCGGCTGCGCCCCGCACCGAACTACTGACCTTCGTGCCTTCTTTTCCAGCCGTTCCCGTCAGCCCCTGCTCTCCGGGGGGCCCTGGGGGGCCTGGGTGACCTCTCTCCCCCATGGGCCCCGACTCTCCTGCTGCTCCCTGGAGAGGGGCCGAGAGACCCCAGTCTCAGACCTCTCCTTCCTCCGGGCCCGAAGCAGCCACCGGGCCACCCTAACACCCTCCCCCACCCCTCACCCCTCACCCCGACCCCTCACCCCCAACCCCTCACCCCTCACCCTGGCCCAAAGCAGCCACCGGGCCACCTAACACCCTCCCCACCCCTCACCCTTCACCCCTCTCCCCTCACCCCTCACCCCTCACCCTGGCCCAAAGCAGCCACCGGGTCACCCTAACACCCTCCCCCACCCCTCACCCCTCACCCCGACCCCTCACCCGGCCCAAAGCTGCGGGCAGTCCCGCCCGCCTGTGCGGCCCAGTGAGGAGCCGGCACCACCTGAGCCCAGTGGTGGGAAGGGCCCAGGACACACTGAGCTCAGCAGCAGAGCCCAGCCCGCCCCCACCCGCCAGCCCCGAACGGGAAGGCAGAGGACGGGGCCCGGGGCCAGGCCGGTCCACTGTCCGCCGGGCAGACCTACCTGCGGGCCCACCACCCCCGGGGGCCCGGGCGGGCCGGTCTTGCCTTGGAAGCCCTGAGAGGAGAGGGAGCAGTCAGGCACCTGGAGGAAGGCAGGTCCTCCCTCCCTGCCGCGGGCGTCCACCCCGGAGGGTGCTGAGAGCCGGCCGGCTCCCTGCGGCTCTGAGTCCGGGCCGCGGGGCCGCACCACTCACCACTTCTCCTCTCTGGCCCGGGTGGCCCGGCAGCCCGTCCTTCCCGGGGGGGCCCTGGAAGGGGTCTGTGTCAGGGATTCCGCGGGAGGGACGGGAGGGCTCAGGGACCGGGGAGGCAGAGGGCAGAGGGCAGAGGGCAGGGGGCAGGGGGCAGAGGGCAGGGGGTAGAGGACAGGGGGCAGAGGGCAGAGGGCAGGGGGCAGAGGGCAGAGGGCAGAGGGCACCTCACCGGCGGTCCTTTGGGGCCAGGAAACCCGTTGGGGCCCTGAGGCCCGGGGAGGCCCTAGAGACAGAGCTGGGTGAGCGCGGGCCGCGGCAGGGCGCTGGGCTGGCGGGGAGCCGCCCCCCGGCTCCGGGTCCGGGGGCCACACTCACCCTCTCTCCGGGCGGCCCGTGGGGGCCGTCGCCGCCCGACGTTCCCTGCGGGGAAGCAGAGTCAGAGGGGCCGGGGCCGGGCTGGGGGCAGGCCCGGGAGCCCGCCAGGGCCACTCACCTTCGCTCCGGACTTCCCAGTGGCGCCCCGGGGCCCCCGCTGGCCCCGCGGACCCTAGAGGGGAGAGGGGAGAGGAGTTGCCAGAAAACCCACGGCCCCTTTGGCCTGACCCACCGCTCCCCGGCACTCACCGTGGGGCCCCGCTCTCCCCGCGGCCCTGACTTCCCGGACAGGCCCTGGGGGGAGAGAGCACATCACCGTCACCGTCACCGTCACCGCCACCGTCACCGTCACCGCCACCGTCACCGTCACCGTCACCGTCACCACCACCGTCACCTCCACACCCACCGCCACCGTCACCGCCACCGCCTCCGCCACCGCCACCGCCACCGCCACCGCCACCGTCACCGCCTCCGCCACCGTCACCGCCACCGCCACCGCCACCGCCTCCGCCACACCCACCGCCACCGCCACCGCCACCGCCACCGCCACCGCCACACCCACCGCCTCCGCCTCCGCCACCGCCTCCGCCACCGTCACCGCCACCGCCACCGCCACACCCACCGCCTCCGCCTCCGCCACCGCCACCGCCACCGTCACCGCCACCGCCACCGCCACCGCCACCGCCACCGCCACCGCCACCGCCACCGCCACCGCCACCGTCACCGCCACCGCCACCGTCACCGCCACCGCCACCGCCACCGCCTCCGCCACCGCCACCGTCACCGCCACCGCCACCGCCACCGCCACCGCCACCGCCACCGCCTCCGCCACCGCCACCGTCACCGTCACCGCCACCGCCACCGTCACCGCCTCCGCCACCGCCTCCACCACCGCCTCCACCACCGCCTCCGCCACCGCCACACCCACCGCCACCGCCACCGCCTCCACCACCGCCTCCGCCACCGCCACACCCACCGCCACCGCCACACCCACCGCCACACCCACCGCCACACCCACCGTCACCGCCACCGTCACCGCCACGGCCACACCCACCGCCACCGCCACCGCCTCCACCACACCCACCGCCACACCCACCGCCACCCCCACCGCCACGGCCACACCCACCCCCACCGCCACCGTCACCGTCACCGCCACCGCCACGGCCACACCCACCGCCACCGCCACCGCCACCGCCACCCCCACCCCCACCGCCACCGTCACCGCCACCGCCACCGCCACCGCCACCGCCACCGCCACCGCCACCGCCACCGCCACCCCCACCCCCACCGCCACCGCCACCGCCACCGCCACCGCCACCCCCACCCCCACCCCACCGCCACCGCCACCGCCACCGCCACCGCCACCGCCACCGCCACCGTCACCGCCACCGCCACCGCCACCCCCACCCCCACCGCCACCGCCACCGCCACCGCCACCGCCACCCCCACCCCCACCGCCACCGCCACCGCCACCGCCACCGCCACCGCCACCGCCACCGCCACCGCCACCCCCACCGCCACCGCCACCGCCACCGCCACCGCCACCGCCACCGCCACCGTCACCGCCACCGCCACCGCCACCGCCACCGCCACCGCCACCGTCACCGCCACCCCCACCCCCACCGCCACCGTCACCGCCACCGCCACCGCCACCGTCACCGCCACCGCCACCGCCACCGCCACCGCCACCGCCACCGTCACCGTCACGGTCACCATCACCGCCACCGCCTCCGCCTCCGCCACCGCCTCCGCCACCGCCACCGCCACCGTCACCGCCACCGCCACCGCCACCGTCACCGCCACCGCCACCGCCACCGTCACCGTCACGGTCACCATCACCGCCACCGCCACACCCACCGCCTCCGCCACCGCCTCCGCCACCGTCACCGTCACTGTCACCGGGCCGCCCCCACCCAGCGCCCTGCCCTCCGCGCCCTCCCCGCCTACCCGGGCTCCCTTCTCTCCTCCGGCTCCGGGGAAGCCAGGAAATCCGAGGGAGCCCTGGAAGACAAGAGGGAGCAGAGAAGTCGGTCAGGAGAGGCAGTGAGGCGGCGGGAGGCTGGCTCCAAGGCGAACCCTGCTGCTCGCCGCCAGCCCGTCCCCACCGGCAGGTGTCACGGGAGGGCAGGGAGGAGCGGGTCATGGGCATCACGTCACCTTGGGACCCTGGCGTCCGGGGTAGCCAGGCAGACCAGGAACTCCCAGCTTGCCCTGCGGAGGGACAGGGAGCCATCAGGACTGGAGGAGCCACAGGCACCAGGGGGGCCCTGAGGTCCTGGGGTCCCCAACCCTCCGGGCGGGAGCCAGCCGCACCCAGCACCGTGCCCACCAGGCCCTGCCCGTCTCCCGGCCAGCGCTGCCCGCTTGTAAGCTGCCCTCCCGGTGTCTGCCACTCAGCCAGGTTCCTGGGGGCTGTGACCCAGTCCCTGCCTGTCAACACGGGCTCCACCTGCCCCTGCCCCTGCCCTGCCCCTGCCCCTGCCCCTGCCCTGCCCCTGCCCTGCCCCTGCCCCTGCCCTGCCCTGCCCCTGCCCTGCCCCTGCCCCTGTCCCTGCCTCTGCCCTGCCCCTGCCCTGCCCCTGCCCCTGCCCTGCCCCTGCCCTGCCCTGCCCCTGCCCCTGCCCCTGTCCCTGCCTCTGCCCTGCCCCTGCCCTGCCCCTGCCCCTGCCCTGCCCCTGCCCTGCCCTGCCCCTGCCCTGCCCCTGCCCCTGTCCCTGCCTCTGCCCTGCCCCTGCCCCTGCCCTGCCCCTGCCCTGCCCCTGCCCCTGCCCCTGCCCTGCCCCTGCCCCTGCCCCTGCCCTGCCCTGCCCCTGCGGGCCTCCACACAGCTGGGGACACCTCTGCCTCCGCTCCGCTCGCACCCCTCCCTCAGCCCCCTGCACCCCGGCCTCCGAAGCTGCAGGCTGCGGTCCAGGCAGCTGTGGGCTGCGCTTGGAAGCAGGGACTCCAGCCTGGCGGCCTGGCTCAGGCCGGGCTCCGCCCTCCCCGGCTGTAACTAGGGAGCACCTTCACCTCCGGGGCCTCTGTGAGGCCGCACCTGCAGCCTTCGCCCCGGCCTCTCTGTCTGACGGCCCCGAGCCCGCTCACCACTCCCGCCTCTCCTCTCGGAACGCCTGTGCCCTCTGCCCTGCGCCTCAGTCACCTAGGGCAGCCTCGGCCTTGTCCCCATCGGCCTCAGGACGGGGACTTTTCCCTGGCTTCTTATCCATCACCCCTCAACCCACCAGCGTCCAGGAGGTGCCGCATACAGGAGGAGCATAATGAATGCACGGTCGTCTTCGATCGACTCACTGGCTCCAGCTGTTGGCAAGCCTGCCCGCCCTGCCCCCAGGCCAGGCCCGCCTCCCCCCTGTCCGGGAGAGCAGACACGGGTCCCGCCCTGTCACCTTCTCGCCCACAAGCCCCGTGGGCCCAGGGTCTCCGGTGGGCCCAGTGCGACCCTTCGGCCCCTCGGGACCATCCTCTCCTCTGGAACCAGGGACTCCAGCCTCGCCCTGCACGAGAGGGTGAAGGTGAGGGTCAGGGCCTGGGTGGGGCTGGGCCCCAGGGGAGAGGCCGGCCCCAGTGGCTGAGAGGGCGGCAGGGGTCCCAGAAGCCGTTGCAGGCCAGGGGCCACAGGGGGGGAGACTGCGGGGATCGGAGGGACTCGGGCTGTGGGGCTGTTACCCTGCTGGGGTCCGGCCTAACGGGTGCAGAGCACCGGAGACTGGGCCCGGGGCGTCAAAGGGATCGGCCGGGGGCTCCAGAGTGAAGGATCGTTAGGACTCGGACTGGGGGGCAGTGTGGGGGCTTCTACTCACCCTGTCACCTTTCACACCCATGTCACCTTTGAACCCAGGAAAGCCATCGTCGCCCTAAAGAAGGTGGGAGAGGACACCCCGGATGACAGAGGGTCGGGAGGCTGAGACGGAGGGTTCCGGAGACTGTGTGTGGAAGGCAGGTGTCCGGAGCGGAGGGCAGCAGGGGCAGCAGGAGGGGCGGGTGAGGAGGAGGGGACAGAGGCTGGTGGAGGCAGAATGCAGGTGGTGGGAAGTCGGGGCACATTGCTCACCTTTTCACCCTTATGACCCTTCAGGCCCCGAATTCCGTCCACACCCTGGAGTCAGACAGGGCGCAGAGACAGCGGTCAGGGACGGGCTCCCAGACCCGCCTGGCCCCCCGAAAGCAGCCCTCTATCTCCCGGCTGTGGTCTTACCTTGACACCTCGGGGCCCGGGGTACCCGAGAGGACCCTGAGGTCCAGAGGGGCCCTGGAGGAAGACAGAGGGATCGGTAAAGGGGTCGGGGTGCCGTCCTGGTGGCCTCAGGGCGTGGGAAATCGGAAGTGACGTGGACAAAAACAGTCAGAGCCTCGTTCATGACGAGACGGGGAATCCCAGGGACCTGAGGCCCAGGCTGGGGAGCGCCCCGAAGGTGGGGAGGTGGAGGCTCACCTGGTTTCCTTTGGTTCCTGGGGGGCCTTCCTTCCCGGGGTGGCCCTGGGGCAGGAAGAAGAATGTGAGCGCTGGTCCCTTCGCCTTCCTCACCCTCTACACTCCTTCACCCGAACGCCCGTGAGCTGACGAAGCCAGCTGGCCACACAGGTGCCACAGGGACCTCCCAGGGACGGGACGGGATGGACGGGCCCTGGGGCCCTGGAGGCCGCTCAGTGGGCTGGGAGGCCGAGGGGTGTTGGGACAAGAAGTGGGTGCACTCACCGGGAGGCCATCGGAGCCGGGCATGCCGGGGAGCCCTGGCTTTCCGAGGGGGCCCTGCGGGAGGCGAGGAGGCCCCGGTTCACGAGGGCTCAGTCCCAGCCAGACGGCCCTCCCCGCACCCGCCCGCAGCCCTGCTCCCACAGCGGGCTCACCTTCTCTCCGTGAGGGCCGATGGCACCCTGAGGCCCAGGGAGACCCTATACGCGGGGAGAGAGAAGTCACAGGGGCCCCGCCGTGGGGGCGCTCTCTCCTGCGGCCAGCACCCCCCTCAGAGCACCAGCAGCGAGGACTGGAGACCCTTCGCTTCCGGTCCCCACTCAGGTCTGACCACGGGGCAGCCCAGGGAAGCCGCTGGGGTCGCGGAGGGGCGGGCAGACCACTCACCTGGGTGCCAGGCGTTCCCTGCTGTCCGGGAGGCCCTGGCTCCCCTTGGGGTCCCTACAAACAGGCAGCAGGCAGGGTCAGAGGCGGCGGTGGCCAGTCAGACGGGGAGGAGCGGGCAGGAGGGCCCGGGGGCGAGACCGGAGGGCAGGGCTCAGCGTGGGCAAAGGGAGCAGGGTTGGCAGGCCCAGGGCCGGGTGGAGTCGCCAGCCATCACTCACCAAGCTCCCTTTGGGGCCGTGGGGACCGTCCATGCCGCGCACGCCCTGGAACACGGGAGGGTGTGAGCGGGAGGCAGCCGCCCGGGAGGCCCTGTGGTTTCCCGGAGCCGGGCCGTCCCCGAGGGAGCGGGTGGGACGGGCAGAGCCACCGGTCAGTCCTCCGTCCCTCCCAGACCTCAGCACACAGCCGGCCCAGAGCCGCAGGGCGTGGGGCTGTGGGGCTGTGGGTTTGTGGGTTTTTGTTTTGTTTTTCTTGATGATTTTTTTCCTGGCTCTTCTCCGAGCCTTTGGTGCCCCACACCAGAAGGCCCTAAGAGGGCCCCTGGGGCAGAGGCTGGAGCGGGAACGGGAGGGGAGGTGGGGCAGTCAGGAAGATGAGAAGTCAGGGGGTGAGATCAGGGTCAGGAGTCAGGGGCAGTCACTCACCGGGGGTCCAGGAATACCAGGCGGGCCTTTAGGGCCAAGGAGACCTCGAGGCCCCTACACTCGGCGAGGAGAGGACAAGGCACACATGAGTGTCTCTTTCATATCTATGCCCTCCTCTGGCGTTCCCAGGGCCCCCCCCCTCCTGCCCCCACCCTCCTGCCCTCCCTGCCCTCCCCCCGCCCCCCGGGACCTCGCCCCTGGACACTCACCGACTCTCCAGGCAGCCCCCGAGGCCCGATCTCCCCGTCGTCCCCCTGGAGGAGGAGGACGTGGTGACGTGCCTCGCCTCCCAGCCTCCCCCAGGCCAGCCCGGCCCCGGCCCAGCCACACTCACCCGCTCTCCGTCCTCGCCAGGGGGCCCAGGGAGGCCGTGGGCACCAGTCTCGCCCTGGGAAACAGGGAAGGGGCTTCAGAGCTCCCAGCACAGACACCGGCCCTCTCCAACGTCCCTGCCCAACGTACTCACCCGGTGCCCCTTCTCCCCGGGAAGGCCTGGGAGCCCATCAAAGCCGCGGTCACCCTAGGGGAGAGGGGCGGCCACGTGAAGCCCCAGCCCTTTCCCGCCCCACCCCCTAGTGCCCTGAGGGGGGGTGCCACTTCCTGGGGGAGCCCGGGAACCCAGGCCTCCTGAGATGACGAGCTTAGAGGGGCTGAGCTGAGCATCAGAGGAAGGCCAGCTGTCACCTTCACACCAGGTTCTCCGGGCATCCCTCGGGCTCCGTCAGCACCCGCCCGGCCCTGCAGATCCAAAGGAAGTGTCAGAACAAGCAGGGGCCAGCCCTCCACCCTCGGTGCCATCTCCCACCTCGCCCGCCCCACACTCAGTCACTCACCCTTCGCCCAGCCTTGCCGGGAGGCCCGGTGAGGCCCTGAGGTCCCCTGGGGCCCTGGGGAGGGAAAGTTGAGGTCAAGGTTAACGGGCACAGACAGGGGAGGAGGCACAGCGTTGGGGATCAAAGGGGTGGGGGGTGTCACCTGAGGTCCTAGGTCTCCAGACTCTCCCTTCAGACCAGGGCTCCCAGGTTGTCCCTGTGAGAGAGAGAGGTTGGCTATATGGAAGGACATCTCCAACAGTGACCCCGAAACCTCCCCAAAAAAGCAAAATGACTTTGGATTTGGGCCCTTTCCAGAACTGTCCATCCCCCACACACACACAAAAAGTACCTCCTACCCCACCCCCCTTCGCTCACCAAAGGTCCAGGGCGACCTGTGTATCCCATGGGTCCAGGGGGTCCACGGAGCGCCATCTAGGGGACAGGGGACACAGCAGAGGTGAGAAGAGGCAGCTGGAGACTCCCTCGCCAGGACACCCTCTAAACTCACCCTCCCACTCCTAACCCGTGTTTCACAGCCTTACGTGGCCCTCCCCAAACCAGCCCAGACCTTCCCCTTCCCCATATCCCTCCAGCCTACCCTCCCAACCCCTGCTAGAATCTTTCCTTCTCCCCCACCCCCACCACAATGCTCTCCAGCCCTACTCACCCGCGCCTGCTGCAGGATCGCCTGGGCCTGAGCCTCCTGGGCGGCCACCACAGGGCCCTTGTCACCCCCGCCACTGCCAAACCGGAACTGACGGGCAAGGAGAGAAGGCCCAGTTCTTTCCAGGAAATCCCTGGGACCTTCCAGCCAGAGGTCCTCCAGCATTTCTGCTCCAGCTCCCAGGCCGAGACACACACACACACACACACACACACACACACACACACACCGCCTTTTGCCCTCTTCCATATCTTCCAGTGGAGGTGTTCAGATAATCACTGAGAGGTTTTCAGAAACTCAGCTTCTGTCCTCCTCCCCCGATGTCTAGCCTCTTCCTCCAAAAAGACTCTCCTTTGGTTCTAGACCCCCGAAATATACAATTTCCTGCTCCACTCTAGATGAACCAAGCTTGACTCTAGATCATATTGGGTTCTAGGTCATCTAATGAGGCCCTCGTCACCTCCACCAAGAGGCCCATTTCTTTGCACTGATGGTCTTTAGAGACTCCTGGTTCTCGGTGACACAGCACAATCCCCTGCCCTCCCCCGCAGCCCCTCCCAAAGCCCAGAAGACAACTCACCGGGAGCATGAGGGATGTGCCGGGAGGGCCAGGCGCCCCATCTGATCCAGGGAGCCCTGCCCGGCCGGGAGGACCCTGGAGTGGGAGAGAATGAGGAGGGTAGGTGACAGATAGGGGAGTCTTAGGCCTAGAGTCCTCTGGGAACCCTCCTCAACAGGACAAATGCAGACTTCCCTAGATCTTTCCTGAGCCTCACCCCAGCCCTCTGGAGAAAAGTCAGGGTAAGACCCAAGACCACTGTCCTCCCCAACCAGTCTGCCCTATTTGCAAGTGCTGGGGACACCAGTCCCTGTTCATTGATCAGCCAGCTAATGAGAAATCACTAAGCATGTGGCCCCCTTTAGTGGCTCCTTTGCAGTGCCCCCTCCCATACAGAAGACACTCCCTTACCCTCTCGCCAGGGTCTCCAACTGGGCCTGGGTTGCCCTGGATGCCAGGGGGACCAGTCAGTCCCTGAGGAACAAAGGAGTAAGGGGTCAGCTGTGGGCATTCAGAGAGAAAAGGGGATGTAGCTGAGGGGTGGTCTCTACAGCAGAGAGAGCTCGGATTGGAAGAATGCTCTGGAGTTCTGAGAAGGAGGCCTGGGCATACATGGGGAAGACACGGATGAAAGAGTGTTCAGACTCACCGCAGGGCCTTCTGGGCCAGGCGGCCCCTCCACTAGCATTCCCTGCAGAGTCAAACGTTAAGAGTCAGAGGCCACGGGACTAGCACACCTGCCTTCTTCCCTTCTTCCCACTGCCCTCAGCTCAATGGCCAGAGTGACTTACAGGTTCCAGAACTGCAGGCTCCCCCTTCTCTCCCTTCAGCCCCCGGGGTCCATGGGCAGCCTGAGGGAGACACACATGTAACCCCCAGTGGGGCCTGTGAGCAGCCAGGACAAGGGGACTCCGCCCATCCCACCTCCCCACTTCATTCTCAGGTCTTCTGGAGGCCTCCTTGAGCCTACCTCCAACCCAGTCCCTTCCCCAAGATTCTCTTCACAGACCCCAGGCCTGCCAAGGAGACCTCAGGGCTCCCCACACCCCAATCCTCAGCCCCACCTCAGCAAAGACAACCTCCTCACCTCCCTGAGAACTTCTTTCAGGAAGGTCCCCACGTTTCCTGGGAATCCAAAGCCCTAACCTTCCCAAAGCTTCTTCTGGAGGACCCCACCCTACCCCCCATACTCTCTCTGACCCCAAGAATCCCTAGAACTTTAAGAAACCATCAACTTCTGCACCCTTACTCCAACCCACCAAATAAAAATCTCTCCAAGATTATGGATAGATTTTTATTGGAGTTTGAAGGGAGAGTATGGATCCATATGAGAATATGCTGTAATCTATAGTCTTCAGAAAAGAAAAAAATGTATGCCCTTACTCACAGAATTTTCCCTAGAATTTCAAGGAGTTCATAAGCTTAAAAACTTCTTAACATCCATACTCTAAGTAGATTTGGAGGGCAATCCCCACCGATATCTGAAACTTCCACCCCATAATAGGTTCTTAAAAAAAATACAGCTCTTGCCAAAACCGGTTTGGCTCAGTGGATAGAGCGTTGGCCTACGGACTGAAAGGTCCCGGGTTCGATTCCAGTGAAGGGCATGTACCTTGGTTGCGGGCACATCCCCAGTAGGGGTTGTGCAAGAGGCAGCTGATCGATGTCTCTCTCATCGATGTTTCTAACTCTCTATCCGTCTCTCTTCCTTTCTGTAAAAAATCAATAAAATATATATATTTTAAAATACAGCTCTTGCCCTAGTTGGCCTGGCTCAGTGGATAGAGCGTTGGCCTGCAGACCAAGGGTCCCAAGTTCAATTCTTGTCAAGAGCATGTACCTCTTGTCAGGCAGCCGATGGATGCATTTCTCTCACCTGGATGTTTCTCTCTGTCTTTCCCTCTCTCTTCCACTAAAATTCAATAGGAAAATGTCCTCAGGTGAGGATTAACAACAAAAAATACAGCTCTTGGGCTAAGTTGGTCAAGCCTCAGAGCAGATCTCCCTCAAGTCCCCACAGTTCCTCTCTCATCAAGGACACTAAACTCTCACCCTGGTGCTCATTTGTACTGCGAGCCTAGCAGTTGCCCCTCTTCCACACTTCCATTCAGGTGTCCACCCCCAACTCCGGGGCCAGAACCAAGACAAGGTCAGGGAGAACAGAGGACATTCACCACCACCCGCAACTCTCCCATCGGAATGTCCGCCGTCTCCATCCTGACCGACGGTAATTTCCAAACTCCCCCATATTACAGCGCAACCTCACATTTCCAGAAAGCAGCATAAAAGCAAGGCAGCGGAGGTGAAGGGTGGCAATGTTAGAGAAAGGAGATGCAGGACGATGCAGGACAGAGAAGGCAGCTCTAACTGCAAGACAGGCCAAAGATGCAGTGGTGTAGACAGGAAATGCCCCATCTAAGAGGGAGTGGTTGGAGACACGGGGAACAATTAAGGGAGACAGAATGAGGGGACAAACACTTGGAAGCAAGAATGATGCCAGGGCCAAGAAAAATTAAACCTGGCCAAAATGGCTAGAAAGTGAACTGAACAAACAGGAAGTGGTTGGATAGACAGGAAGCAGCCAAGAAAAGAGACTTCAGGAAGTGGACCTTCAATAACAACCTGGCTACCATGACCGATGGGAGAAATTCACAAAACAGACAGAAAGTGAGTCCTGGATAGGAGCTGATGACAATGCAAGACAATTCTTCAGAAAACACAAGCAGCAAAGTGAGTACACACAGGAAGTGATCATGATAAATATCTAGGCCCATAACGGACCCTTTATGATTTGGATGGCCTGAGACACACTGGAAGTAGCTCATTATCAAAGGAAATTGTCACAGAAAGCATGAAAAGCTAGAGTCAAAATACAAATAGTAAGTCCCTTTCTATCCAATACGGCACAGTCACCAAGACAGACGGCATGGCTGGAGAAGACCGGAAGGGACAGACAGGTTAGAAGCTGAGACACTTGGCAGCAACATGGATAAAAAAATTGTTTTGTCAAGAAGAAACGATGGAGACAGACTGAAAATGGGCATAAGGTCCTTACCTTATTGACCAAAAGCTTTATGAAATCCAGCTTGATTGAGACAGGAAGTGACCAAAAAGACAGGAAGTGGCCATAATATATATATTTTTTAAATCTCATTGCCCTGGGCAGAAGGATTCATAAGAAGTCACAGGGTAAGATATTGCACAAGGGAAGGAAGGAAGGAAGGAAGATGTTCAAGCAACACATACATCTTCTGTGGACAGAAACGGCAAACCACCAGTGGGAAGCAGCTCAGAGCCGACAGACAGCGATCAGAAACAACAAGAGATTCTTGCGGCTCCCATGGGAGGGCGCGAAGACTGGAGGAGCGCCTCTCACTTACGGCTCCGGGGTGGGCTGTCTCCGCAGAGAGGGCAGGGCCAAGGTCCGTCTCCTCACGGTAATCGTCCCCATAGCCATAGGTGTAATCGTAGGGCCCTGCCGGGGGCTCTGTGCCCCCCTCCCCATATTCCTCTGTCAGGAACCTGTCAGCTGTGGAGGGGACCTGGAGATCTGTCTGCTCCTTCCCGGGGATGGGGATGGGGAGGGAGAGGGGTAGACGGGGGCGTTAGGGCTGAGAGGAGTTTCCCCCTGGACCCCAGGTGTGACAACTCCTCGCCCAAAGGATCCTGAGGGTGACTAGGACTGGAGTTTCTCTCCCAAGAAGAGCAAGGGGAGCAGCTGTGTGGAAAGGCGATGGCCGTCAAAGACCAGAATCGGGAGAGATGTCCGGCAGACGGGCTTGGTGGAAGAAGTGGTGCACAACCAGAAGGGTGGCCGGAGGGCTGGACACAGAGCGGACAGTCCATGGACATAAGATAGACAGCAGAGTCCAGGGAGTGACCAAAGACATGATGGAGAGAAGGGCAGAAGAGAAGAAGACAGCACTGGACAGAAAGTGGCTCCTAGGAACAGAACATGACACAGGAAGTAAAACCATTTCACACCAACATGAAGAGGAGGCTACTCCAGAATCAAGGAGCAATGAAAGGAGACAGGACACTAAGGAAAATGGCTTACTGAGAGGGAGAGGCGAGCAGACCCACTGGGCTGGGAGGACCAGGAGCAGAAGGCCGTAAGTGCGTATGACAAAGAGCCCTCCGGCCGGAGGGGGCTGACTCGTCCAGATGACAGGGGGCCTGAGGGGTGGGTCACAGCCCCCCGCTGCCCCCCGCTGGGTGGTGGGGTGGAGTTACCTCCTCAGGGGGTGGCAAGGGGCTGGACTCCAGGATTCCTTCCTCTTCTCCTGGGGTGGGGTACTAATCCCAAGGGGAGGGGAGCAGAGTATGGGGGGAGGGGGGACAGGTGGAAGGAAGGAGAGAGGTTAGCCAGAGGAAGGCGAAGCAGCACTGTGTCCCTCGCTGGGGCAGTGTCTGTGTGTGGGGGGTGGGGGAAATCGCAGATCTTGCAGCCCCTTAGGACAGCGGAGGGAGAATGACTCTCCCGGGCCATGAAGATTTGGGGGCAGAGATCTGGATGCCCCGGCTCTACCTGCCGGTAACTGCTGCCTCTGGTCCTGGGGGGGGCCCGGGCAGTGTGGGGAGCTGCCCGTCGAGCTGGGCGCCGGGAGGGGGAAGGCTGGCCCCACGCTGGCCCAGAACCTCCAGTTCGAGAGGGTCTCCAGCCTGATGAGGGGGATGCCTGCCGGGCTGCGGACCTCTTAGCAGGTGGGGTAGGCTTTCGGGGTGGGGTGCGACGGCCCCTGGGGGAAGCGGGAGCCCTGTGGGTGGGGCTCCGAGGCCGCTGCAGCAGAGACATGGGAGGCGACAGTGAGGAAACTCCCGTAATCTAAATGCATGGCTTCTCTCCTTGAACTGGGGGTCAGAGATGGGGGGGGGGACGGGAGAAAGAAGGGGTCCCTCCAGTTTACCTGGTAGTCAGGGGTTGTCCCCGCAGTCATCTCATCGTAATAGAGGGGCCCGTAGTCATAGTGGAGAGGCTCAGTGGGCTGGGTCCGGGGAGGGGCAGTGGGATAGGAGGAGGGGCGGGGGCGGACGAGGGAGGTGAGATGGTACGGGATTGGGAAATGAGGTAGGGGAGGAATTGGAAAACAGAGTTGGGGATGAAAAGAGAGGTTGGGGGACAGGAGAGAGATGGGGAGAGGCAGGAAGGGGAGGTGGGTCCCGCAGGTGAGACAGAAGCAGACATAATTAAGAGATTGATGCTTCAACTTCAGACTACTGACCCCACATCATATCTGTCACCCTAACCTTCAGAGCTCCACCAACCCGGAATCTTCTTGTCCTTCTCCCTCCCAGCCCCTTACCCTACGCCTCCGTGCGCAGGGGCCAGAGATGGCCCCAGCCACCTTCCACTGGCTCACCACCCTTTTGGGATTCCCTCTTTCTTCTCTTCCTCCCCCATTTCTCCTCCTAGGTCTTTCCATTGCAGCTTCTTTCTCCCTGTTTCTGTCTCTCCCCTAATCTGCCCTTCCCTCCTGTGTCCCCAAGTCCCACCCACACCCTCTCTCCCAATCTCTTAATTCAAGGAAGGGTGGGAAACCCAACGGCATAGTCCAGGAAGACTGGCAGAGGAGACACAAGGAGGGGACACAGCTCCCAGCCATGAGTTCTTCATAACAACTTTTTATTTTTAAGTGAAAATAAAAAGGTTGATGAATGAGGACTGGGGGTGAGTGATGGGAATAGAGGGGTATGACTGGGGATGGGCATAAGGAAGGGGCTAAAAGGAGCCCAAAAAGAATGGGGAGCTCTGGACATTGGGGGATTTCCTCTGGGGAGATATCTGAGAATCTTCCCTCCCTGGGGGAGGGGGGTACTGCAGTTTGGGGTCCACCCAACTTCCTCACCTGTCTCTGGGGCTCCTGGTTTTGGGGCCTGTGAAGTCTCGCTGATGGCTGCTTTGGAGACCTCTGTGCTCGGTGAGACTGTTGTTTCTGAGGCCTCTCCCTCCAGTCCCGCTCACACTCCAGCTCCTTCTGTTCACAGGATCCATAGGCAGCTTGCACCCCCGGAGCAATGACAAGCTCTTGGATGTCACCCTGTAGAGATACGAGGAAGGGATGCCAATGGAAGGAGACAGAAAGGGCTTCAGAGCGAGACAAAGGGTATATACAGTCCGGGACAAAAGGCAGGAGGCCAGTCCCAGGTAAACTACATAATGGAAGGTCATTACCGGCCCTCCATGGCACAGCCCTGTCCAGTGCCCATTGGACCATCACAACCACTGGGAAAGCCAGTGGCAGGGTCTTTATGCCACTTTCAGACACATTCCATTCTGAAAAGCTCAGAGGCAATGGCTGGCCCAAGGTCACTCAGAGCGGTACAGTCAGAACTAGAATTCCGTCCAGCTCTGCCTGTGCCCCTGCCCTGGGGGGGTTGCCTGAGCCTTGTCACAGGGGCTTCTGGAGACAGTGGCCCAGCTTAGCTTTGACCTTCCACTGGCAGTAATGATGAGAAGTCTCAGGACTCTAGAAATGAGGGAGGGGGGTCCCAATGGCTTTTGTTTGTGATCACATGTGATGCTTAACACAACCTACCTTGTTTGGAGATACTGGCTCATCTCCTTGGAATGATAGAAACCTTATATTATTCTTCTGTTTTCCCCTTGGCATTGATAAGCAGGTATTCAGAAAATGTTAACTGACTAGCCTGGTGGGTGGGTAGGTGAGTGAATGGGGGTTCAAATGCATGACTGAATTGGAAGGTTGATGGATGGTGGAATGAATGAATGAATGAATGAATGAATGAATGAAGTTGGTGAATAGATGGAATCAGATTGGTGGGTAGGTCGATAGAAGTGAAAATGTGGATAAATGAATGGTTGGATGGAGGGTGGGTAGGTGAGGAGGTGGTTGTGTAAATGGTGGATCAATGGTTGCATCCATTCTTATATGCATGGGCAGATGGGGTAAGTGGGTGGATGGATGAGTGAGTAGATGGACGGATGGGTTAAAGAGGACAGATGGATGAAAGGACAGATTGATAGCTAAGTGGACTGAAGGAGTAAGTGGCTGAGCAGGGGAAGGATGGGCAGATGGATGGATGCAAACCTGGATGCTTGAGTAGGTGGGTGACTGCGTAACTGGACAGACAGGTGAGTGGGTGAAGGATGAGTGGTAGAAAGATTGGTTGAATGATGGATGGGCAGAGTGATGAAGACTGAGTGACAAAATGAGTGGCTGTGGATAGTCCTGCAATATAAGTGGACACCTAGCTCTCCTAAGAGAAAATTAGCCCTGGACAGGAAATGGAACTATACATTCAAGAGAGGAAAAATGAAGAGGTAGGGCAGTGGTAGGCAAACTGCGGCTTGTGAGCCACATGTGGCTTTTTGGCCCCTTGAATTTTTAGCAAAGGTGAGCTTAGGAGAACCCTAATTAAGTTAATAACAATGTACCTACCTATATAGTTTAAAACATTTGGCTCTCAAAAGAAATTTCAATCGTTGTCCTGTTGATATTTGGCTCTGTGGACTAATGAGTTTGAGGACCACTGAGCTAGGGCATGGGAAGATGGCATGCTGGGGCCAGAAGGATAATGGACACAAGATCCGGGGCCAGAAATCACTCTGTCTTCTGGTTGCCCTGGTTACCTCAAAGACTTCTTCATCCAGGATGCGGGCACCGAAGATGACCACGCCATGGGTGTCCAGCACCGGACGGGCGCTTCGGGGGAGGGGCCGGGTGACGCGCTTCTTGCAGTCAACAATGAGGGTGACAGACTGGCCCTTCACAGCCACACCCACACGGTGCCACCTGGTCATGGTGGGAGAGGGGCATGTGACTGGCTGAGGAGGGAAGGTCTAAGAGCTGGGAGCAGCTGAGGGAAGGATCAGGACCAATAATAATAATAGTAATCACAGCAGCCCGTATTCATCGAGTACTTACAACGCACCCGGCACCAAGAAACACATTTCTCTTGATTGCATTATCCCTCTCTTACGAACACAGAATGGAGGCACAGGAAGGGAAGGAACTTGTCCGAGGTGCAGGCCAGCACCACACCCAGGATTTACACTCTGAGCCACAAGTGACTGAAGTCTGAGCAGCGGGCAGGTGCTTATGGCCAAAGGCTGGGCAGGGTTTTCTAGCTTAGGGAGCAGGGGCCCTGGGCAGTGGCCACGGGGAGTTCCTGGCAGCGCAGGCCGGGCAGAGCCGAGGAACACACTAACTTACTTGCCATCTGCTAGGTTGAGGCCTCTGAAGACGGGCTGAGCTGGAGGCCGAGGCCGGCCAGTCTGGTCCTCATACAGGAAGCGGACGGGCCGGCCGAGCTCCAGGCCCAGCTGCCGGACGCCCTGGGCGCTATAGAGCGTCAGGAGGGGGGCCTGGAGGCCAGGGCGCGTCCGGACCACAGCCAACAGAGAGAAATCTTTGGGAAAACCTCCTAGGACCCAAGAGAGACACACGCCGGGGAGTGAACGGCGAACAGAGCCAGAACCCCTTCCCTCGGGTGTCTAATCCCAGACCGCCCATGCCCGGCCCGCTCCCCCGCTCCCCCGTCGCCCACACCTGGGAAGAGCTGGCGGGTGGGAGCGCTGAGCTGAGCAGGTCGAGACACTCGGTAGGCCAGGTCAGCGGGACACACGCCTCTCGCCCTCCGGACACCATCAGGGAGGGAGGGGAAGCGCAGGGCCCGGAGCACATCCACGGGGGGCGCACCTGGGGGGGGTGCAGGCGGGTCAGGGGGAGGGACACGCCTCGGGAGGGCCTAGGGGGGACTCTGTGGTGCGGAACTCAACGCCTGGGCTCACGCCCTCACCTGCTCCTGACGGATGGAACCTGGAACCGCCTCAGGAGCACAGCGGGGACCTGTGTTCATGCCCCCCCCCCCCCGCCCCATCTCTGCCTAAGAATCTCTCTCAAGATCTCTCTCAACTCTCCACCCACCTCCCCGTCTTTCCCTCACTGTCTCTTCCTCTTCGTCTCTGTATCTGTTGGTCTTCTGTCTCCCCGTCTTTTCCATCCTCCTCCACACCCCTCACACTGTCCCCCTTTTTCTTTCCTGGTCCTTCTCCCTCTCGCTGCCTGTCTGTATCTCTGGGTCTCTGGGTCTCTGGCCTCGGCCCACGTCTCCAGCACAAACAACATCTGGGCAATCGATCACCCTGGGCACGGCAGGAGCAGGGTGCAGGGGGGTGGGGGGTGGGGCAGCGGGGCGCCCCGCGGGGAGCAGGCTTCAAACGGCTGCAGCCGCCTGACGGGGAGGTGGGGTCGCACCCCCCCCCCCAAGAGGCAGGGACGCCAGAAGAACCCCCAGGCCTGTGTCTCTAGCTTGAGGGACGGCAGGGGAGGGAGGTGGAGGGGAGCGTGCAGCTGCCACGGGGAGCCAGAGCGAGTCCAGGGCTCCGAGCCACACATCTGTGGATCCCATCAGAGTCCTTGCCCAAAACCCAGCGAGCTCCCCACACCTGGAACTCCCACCCTGTCCCCCCCACCCCCGCCCCTCAGCACCCAGGACTCAGGCCACCGGCCTGTCCCCTGGCACCGGCTTCCTCGGGCTGAGACTCGGGAGACAGAGGGCACCACCCCGCTTCTGGCTCCCACTGCTCACGCTCCTCACACCACCAGCTCCAGGTTGGAAAAGCCCCAAAGAAAGTTCCTGCTGAACCTTCACAGAAGCAGGGCCGGGCAGGCAGAGCGGTCTGGAGAGCGAGCTGGGCGGGGTGGCTGAGGTGGTGCCGGCAGGCAGAGAAAAGGCCCTTTGAGTCCAGGAGCCGGGAAACCGCGGCCTTGCCCCCCCACCTCACCCCCACCCGAGCCCGGCCCTGAGTGTGGCAGCTCCGCAAACACCACACACAAGGGCCGCTTTGAGACAGCGGTGAGTGAGACACAGAGACTCAGAGACCCCGGCCAGAGACCTCGGAGGTGCGTCCACCCTCCCCCTGCAAAGGGCAGCTCCGTCCTCCAGGGGACTCCACGCTGCCCACCTGTCTCCTTACCTCGGCTCATCGCTGCCCCAGGGTCTCCGGCCTCAACTGCCCCACCGGCTCCCCAGCAGCCCCATCGCCCCCTCCACGCCACCTCTGGGCCCCGAGGGCCCCCTCCTTACTCTCTGAATTCGCCTGTGGAGTCCCATCTCCACCTTCTCAGCATCTCCCACCTCCCTGCGCCAGGTCCCTTCCCCCAAGAAAGACCCTGGAGCCTAGACACTGCGCACTGGCTCCCGTCCCTGAGCTCACACGGCTCACAGCTGGGAAGTTCTTCCTTCTGCGATCTGATCTAAGTCCTTTCTGCTGCTACGCTGACCGCTTTCTTTCCAAAGCGGAGGAGAAATGAATAGTCAAGTTATATGCAAATCAGTCTCCAGAGTTTCCAGGAGTGGGGGGCGGCTTGCTCAGCCGGCCTAGCACCCAGGTGCTCTGAGTCCTTCTCACCCCCGCCCCCGCCCCATCAAACCCCCTCTCCTAGGGGCCAGGAGCCCTGGGTCCTGGGAAAAGGAGGAAAAGGCTGGGGTTGTGGACACCGGGGTCCCAGGAGAGCCCGGCTGGCCGGAGGGGGAGGGGCGGGGCAGGAATGCGAAGGGTTGGCTCCCACCTCAGACACCTGATCCCCCTCCGTCCAGCGGCCGTCCTGTTGGCAGCCAGCCCCAGTGCTCCCCAGAGCCAGCCGCGTGGCAGCATCGAGGGCACGGGGAGGGGGAAGGGGATCCTGTCCGAGGAGCCAACGGAAAAAATAGCCCAGGCACCCCCTCTCTGCGGACTGGCTCTGCTCTCACCGGCAGGAATGCTCCCCTGGGCCCCAAGACATGGATAGAGAGTCCCGAAGACATGCACACCCCCGTCACCATCCATCTCCCCTCGCCCGCAGGCTGGACCCCACGGCCTGGCCGCTGTGCTCTCGCCAGGACCCCAGCAGCAGCCCCCCATGGCCCTCTAAGCTGAAGCCCCACCTCAGCCTCAGCTGCCCTCCCGTCAGCTCAGTGGAAAGGAGCCTACGCTGGCACCGGCGCCCAGGGTCCTGCCCTCCACCCAGACCTTTGGTCCCCGGAGCCCCGGCGGGATCAGAAGCTCGCCCCAGGCATTCGCTGTCCCGGCGGGTCCTGGGGCTCCAGCCCGACGCCAGGGCCGGGGCGCGGGGCGCCTACCTGCCCGGGCCGGGGCCCCGCTCAGCCCCAGCACCAGCGGCAGGAGCAGGAGGAGGCGGCCGCACCGCTCCATGGCCGGACAGACGGACGGCGCGGGCTGCAGGGACCGAGGCTGCCGGGAGCGAGCGGTGAGCCCCGCTGAGCCGGCGGGTCCGGGGGCAGAGGCTGGGGCTGGCGGCGCTCAGCGGCCCAGCTCCATGCAGCGAGGCGCCGTCGGGGCTCCGCTGCTCGCTCCTCCGCGGCCGCCGCTCCTGTGTGTCCCCGGCCACCCCGGCGGCCGGAGCCCCCACGGCGCCCCCGCCCCCGGCCAGCCCCCGCCCCCGGCCGCCGCCCACACCCGCCAAACCCCACCCCGCCTCCACCTGGCCCGGGCGGGCGGGGGCTCCTCCTGACCTGCTCCTCGCGAGGACCAGGGGACTGCACCCCACGATTCTTCGGGAACCCCAATATCTCCCGCACGCCCCGTCCTTTTCCAGGACCCAGACCTGCAGTCACAGCCCCCCCCCTTCCCTCTCCCTGGGGGCCAGGACCCTCCTTCGGCAGCGTCCTGGGTGGGGTTTGGGTGCAGGGGGAGGGGATGGGCGGGCCTGGGGGTCGCTGCCCCCCCATCGGGTCCCCATAATTACCTCCCGGCCGCCCCGCCCGCGTAATGACAGAGCGGCCGGCGGTATTTATAGCCGCGGCGCGGACAGCGCTGGGGACCCGCACCCCACGGGGGAGGGGGGGCAGACCGGGGGCGGGGGGGTACCCGGGGCCGGGGCAGAGGTCTCGGGAACGCGTGGGGCAGAGGTCGCAGACAAACGGGTAACCAGTCCCAGGAGATGGAAGGGGGGCGGGGGGTCCCCGGAGCCCAGGTGGACAGGGACCCAGGGAGAGCGAGGGGGCAGCGGCCGGGCTGGAACAGGGTCACCCAGGGACAAGAGGCCGCCTCCCTCCGGGCGGGCCCGCGGCCGCGGCGCCCAGGAGCCCCTCGGCCGGGCCGGGCACGGCGCCGGGTCTGCCGGAGCCCGGGCAGCGGAGACGGAGACGGAGACGGAGACGGGGCAGGCGAGGCGCCGCCGCCCGCTGGCGCTAGGAGGGCGCAGCGAACAAGGCGCCTTTGAGAACCGCCGCCCCCCTTCCTCCCGGCCGCCCCGCCCCCGCCGCCACACCTCCTCCCCCTCCCGACAAAGGGCGCCTTGTGTCCCCCACCCTGCGCCGCCCGCGGGCCCCAGGGAGCCTCAGGCTCCGTTAGTGTCAAGGGAGCGTGTCTGGAGGTCCCCACCGCCCGGATACCCACACCCGCGAGACGCAGCACTGTCCACGCCAGTCACCTCAGGCCAGAAAACAGCGTTTTAATTCGAAAGCAGTTTTATACGAGAGGGAAAGAGGGAAGAAACCCCGGAGAGAAGAGCTGCAGGGCAAAAATCATGCAGCCCGGCACCCATCTCCACAGGCCGCCCCTCCCCTCGGTGCGGACGGGCTGCCCCAGCCTAAGGTGTGCCCGGCCGGACACCCTGCCACGCAGCCCAGGCCCTTCCCGTTAGACAGGAAGAGATGGGCGAGGGGTGAGGCCCCCGCCCGGAGGCCCTGCCTTCCCCAACCCACCTCCACCACTGGCATCGAGTCAGCGGGGCGTACAGTACTTCTTTGAGTCTAACTGTAAGTCTCTATCCTCATAGGAAATTAAAAATAGCAGATGGGTCCTACAGCCCTACCCACCCTTCACCACCACCACCTTGTTCCCAGTCTGACTGCGGGAGGTGACGTGCGAGTGACTCGGACAGTGACGGAGCAGCCCTGATCCGCCAGCCGTGGTGAGAGGAAGGCCTGTCGGAGCCTTACTCTCATGTCCGTCATGGAAGTAATGGGGGGCCTGCCCCCCAACATCCATCTCGGGGAGAGTTCCCGTATCCGCTCTCCAGACAGGGAGCCAGTGAGGCAAGGGAGAAGGAAGCAAGGCCCCGGAGCAAGGCCAGTGCTCTGTGCTGGGAAGAGCGTTCCGGGCCGGTGAGGACGCACCCCGGCCACGGTGGACCCAGACAAACTCCGAGAGGTCCAGCTCTCACAGGGTCTGGGGTCCCCTCTGACTTGGGATATCACGCGAACCCTTTGGAGGGTTGATGATCCCCTGGAGGTCTCGGTCCTGCTCCCTAGTCCTCACCCCACCAACACTCCAGGCACACGGCCCCTCCCCACCCTGCCCCCAAGGCTCGGAGTCCCCCGGATGTGCACTCCTCCAGTGTGGGAAGCACCACGTCTGTCCGGGCTCAGGCCAGCTGGTGGGGCGCCTCGAGCATCTCCATGAGAAAGGTGTCGATGGGGGTGTCACCGATGAGCTTGAAGAAGAACAGGTGCTCTAGACACTTAAGGCCAATGGATCTGAGAGCAGGAAGACGTAGCAGCAGCTTAGCAAACCTGAGGTGGGGGCGAGAGAACGGGAGTGAGAGCTGGGATCGCATAGGCCCTAAACACACCTCCACCCCTGTGGCCCCCCAACCTCCACCCCCCTGGGATCCTCAGTCCCCACAATCCCTCACCCCACCCCTCCTCACCGTCCCTGCTGCTCAGGGTACTTCTGTTTGCAGTAGGTCTCCAGTGACGCATACACTTTCTCCCGCAGGATCTCCACCTCACTGGGGTTGGAGAGGCCCTTGGCATCTGGAACAGCAGGGGAGGAGGGGAGGAGGAGGGGGAGGAGGAGGAGGAGGAGGAGGAGGAGGAGGAGGAGGAGGAGGAGGAGGAGGAGGGGGAGGAGGAGGAGGAGGGGGAGGAGGGGGAAGGAGGCGGCCGTCACATCAGCCCAAACGGGGCGACGTGGCCCACATGAGCAGCTGTTGCCTTCGGGCCCTCTACTGGCCCTTCTCCGGATGCCGGTCAGGGAACTGGGTTTGTGGGAGGGGTCGGAGGGGAATGCGTTAGTGGACAGGGGATGCGTCGGGTTATGTGGGAGATTTCCGGCAGAGGGTCTCACTGAGGGGAGAGCTGGGTAACTTAGGAGTCTCCGGAGATGAGGAGGCTCCAAGGTTGCTTTGGTCTGGAGAGATGGGATGACCTCCTCTTACCTGGATTGAACAGAATGATTGCCCTCAGGCAGCCAAGCTCTGTCTTGTCCATCCTCATGTCACGCATTTTGGACACTAGCTCTGTCAGCACCCTGGAGAGGGACCTGCAGGTCACTCAAAGGTCACAGCTCAGCCAGCCTTGGACACGGACCAGCCTATAGCCCCACCCCCTCTACCTATAGGCCAGCCCAGCGGAGGGCCACTGACCGATCAAAGATGGCTCCCACGCCTGCGGAATGGGCAGAGTTGCGGTGCACGTGAAGACCTGTGGCAAGGAGGATGCCATCTCGGACATCAATGGATCGATGGGAGAAAGAGGCAATGAGGAGCTCATTCCAGCCTGGGCGGGAGCAACAAGGGCCAGGGGCCAGAGATCAGGCCGTGGGATTCAAAGTGCACCAGGGGGAGAGAGGAAAAGGCGGCCAAGTCAATGAGCCTGGCTCCCCGAGTATGCAAGTGTGCACTGGGGCCACTGAAGGTCGTGTCAAAAAGGGTCAAGAGGTCAAAGGGACCCAAGGTCACTGACCTGCCCGGAGCAATATGACCTGATCATCCAGAGGCAAGGAGGAAAAGTGTGGGATCCTCTTCGCCCACTCAACAAGCGTGAAGAGCTGTTTGTCAGCTGCCTGGCAGATGTTAGTCACGGGGTCGTTGGGCTGCGGGAGATGGGGTGAGAGTTATGGGAGGTTTGGAAGTACGCTGGGAGCTCCCCTTGTAAGACTTTGACACCCGCTCCTACAACGTGGTATCTCTCTTCAAGCCCCATGTGACCGACCCCTGGGACTCCCAGGGCCTCGTCAGGCTTTTCTCCCGGCATTTGTGAGAACACTGACTTGGGACTTGCCTGTGGTTCTGCCAACCAGGGGGCTGTCTGGAGGGGGACAGAGGACACATTCACCCACCTCAGGTATTTCAGAGACCTGGTTTGGCAGCACTTCCAGTTCCAGGCAGTGTTAGGACGGTTGTGAGGGGGAGGCGGGGAAGGGGGGGGCGGAGAGGCAGGACAGACCCAGGTTCCCACGCCCCCACCCCCATCAGGAAGGAGAGCGGATTGACCCCATCACTCACGCTGCTGCCGCTGCCCCCGGTTCCCCCGGGACCCTCAACGCCCTGGTCACTCTTCTGCTCCACGGCAAGCTCTGCCTCCAGGATCCTGTCCACAGGCATCTCCTCGGGGGCTCCCCCAGCCCCCTCTCCGTCCCCGTCCTTGTCCTTCCCCCGTTGCCGTTCCTCCTGTACCGCTGGGGGGAGGGGACAAAAAGTGGAAAGTCAGCAGCCTGCCAGGAGGAGATTCTGCAGTGTCCTTAGGGCCTTACCAGCATCTGATGGCCCTAGGAGATATTTATAGAAACGGGGGAGTCACTACAAATAATAGAGACTAGGGACCTCTGGAAGAGGGATTGTAAAAGGGCACATAAACCAAGAAGGAGAGGGAAGGAGAGGATAAAGGAATTAGGGAGAAAGCTAACATTTAATAAGGGCCAAGCACATTTTAACATTCATTCTATTATAACAACCCTATGAGTCCTTGTATCCATTTTTCCTTTTTTTGTTTTGTTTTTGTTTTGTTTTATCTTGTTTTGTTAATCCTCACTCAAGGATATTTTTTCCATTGATTTTTAGAGAGTGGAAGGGAGGATGGGAGGGAGGGAGAGAAGGAGGAGGAGAGAGAAACACTGATTGGTTGCTTCCCTAAATCCTGATCACACGTGCCCTGCCCATCTAGGGTGGGGATCCAACCTGCAACACAGGTATGTGCCCTTGACCGGAATGGAACAGTGGACCCTTCGGAGCGCAGGCCAATGTTCTAACCACTGAGGAACACGGGCCAGGCTCTTGTCTCCATTTTTAAGGATGAAGAATTTCAGGCCTAGAGAATTAAATAGCATGCCCAAGTTCACACAATGGTAAGTCATACATCTGAATCTAAGAGTGCCTGACTGCAAATCCTGTGCTCTCTGACCCAACACAGAGGCAGTGGAAGGAGCACTGGCCTGGATCTTCAGAGACGTGAGTTCTCATCCCAGCTCTACCACTCGTTTACTGCATGACCTGGGAAGAGCTAGGCCTCGGGCTCATCTCTAAAATGAGAGATTTAGCCGAGACCGGTTTGGCTCAATGGATAGAGCGTCGGCTTGGGGACTGAAGGGACCCGGGTTCGAGTCCGGTCAAGGGCATGTACCTTGGTTGCGGGCATATCCCCAGTAGGGGGTGTGCAA